TGTGACAGAGCATTCCACCAAGTCGGGGCCAGTACTGAAAAGGCCCTGGCCCTAGTTGAGACCAATATAACCACCTTGTGACTTGGGACCTCCAAAGTGTTGTCATTTGTGGACCTTAAGGTCATCCGTGGGGCATACCAGGAGAGGAGGTCCTGTAGGTACATGGGTCCTAGGCCGTATAGGGCTTTAAAGGTCAAAACCAGCACCTTAAACCTGACCCTGTACTCCACCGGGAGCCAGTGCAGTTGGTAAAGCACTGGATGAATGTGATCCCGCGGCAAGGACCCCGTAAGGAGCCTCGCCGCGGCATTCTGCACCCGCTGGAGTTTCAGGGTCAGCTTCAAGGGCAGTCCCGCATAGAGCAAGTTACAATAATCAAGTCTGCAGGCGACCATCGCATGGATCACTGTGGCCAGATCAGGGCAAGAAAGGTAAGGGACCAACTGCTTAATACGGCGGAAATGGAAAAATGCCACCTTTGCTGTGGCTGCAACCTGCGCCTCCATGGAAAGGCAGGCATCGAAGGTTACACCCAAGCTCTTGACAGAAGGCGCTGGCACTACTTGAGCCCCCGCAAGAGGTTTAGTCTTTCAGGTCTCCCCACTAAGTGCTTTCCTGTCAACAAGCAGTGTGTGTGTGTGTGTGTGTGTGTGTGTGTGTGGCAATTCTGAGTAGGTAAAACATCAGGAAGAGAATGAGTTGGAGAGGTCCTCTTCTCCTGTCTCCCCTCTTCTACTCCCATACTACCAGGAGCCGCATTGGGATCCGGGGGGGCTGCGCGCGACCACACAAAAGGTGCCCCCCATTTGATGTGGGAAGCTATCAGTGCCTTTCTGCATTCCATGATGCTGATATTGAAGAGCACCCTAGTTATTTACATTTCATGTAATGTTTACTTTCTCCCTGAGAAGCAAGCTGTTGTTAGACTCCAACTGTCATCAGTGCCAGACCAGCATAGCTGATAGTCAGGGGTGATGGAATTGCAGTCCTCGAACATCTGGAGGGCCAAAGGTTAGCTGCCTAGGTCTAGATCTTGAATATGGCTGCTGTACCTTTTGTTTTTTTTTTTTTTTTGCATGAGTAAGGCAAGCCTAAAGTGCCAGTAAGTTTTCAGAAGTGGATGGAAGGCAGGGATGAATTTCACATACAGTGATTTGAACCGAGCACCTCCTGATATGCTTCTCGTTTTCCTTCCTTACAGGGGGAAAAATTCTGGTGAACAATGCAATGCAAGGATTGTACAGCAGTTAATGAAATTTAATGGTGGGATTGCTTATGGTATTGACGCAGGTGCTGGAACCTCCAGACTTGGGATCCCGCTGTGATGAGTTTCGCGATGTTGAGCGGCCATCCGGTGAGTGTCTTAATATGCACATACTTGTTGATTTCTATAACCTTCCTCCTTTTACAAATCCCAAAGAAGTTAAGAAGTCTCTCCTGGGAAAGTACCAACTCTTAAAAAAAAAATTACAGTGGAACCTCAGTTGTCGAATGTAATCCATTCTTGAAGACCGTTCAACTCCCCAAACATTTGACAACTGAGGCACAATGCCGGTCGGCAAATCCATTGGAAAAATTGGAGAAATGTGTCTCAGAAGCCTTTCAAAAACAAAAGCACTCACTTCCGGGTTGTTGGCGTTCAGGTTCTGAATTGTTCAGCTTTCGAAGCGTTCGACAACTGAGGTTCCACTGTTTTTTAATATTTAATTTGGTTTTAAGATTCAAAATTACATTTTAACACTCAGTAATTATAATCCTACTCTTATGATCAGCTAAATGTACTACGAAATAGCAAAAAGAGATAATCTGTGGAGACCCCAATGAGCAGAACAGAACAGAACAATACAAGTAGGATTCCAACTCTATGATTCTATGATTCTATGATTCTATCCTATATTCCTCTTCCCCCACCCCACTGTTTTAGCACAAATGAAAATAAAATGAAAACAATATTGCATAAATGCTAACTATAACATCTCCCTGTAAAGTATGCTCTTTGCACAAAGGTTGGTGACCAAAATACTTTAGAAACAGACTCAAACACATGATAAAAGCCCACCAGAAATCAGCTGCCTATGGCCTGGTCCCTAGAGCTGCTGAGCTTTGGATAAAACCTGGAATGGAAACAGCTCCAGACCCTGATGAACTGGAACACAAAAAACACAGATTGGATTCCCTAACATTACATACCCAATCCTCAGGGAGGAGCTACAAGGCAAAGAAGGACTGCGTTCACACATGGCAGTTTATTCCATCTTTATGATAACTGTTAATTTCCACATTATATTTAGAGTTGCCATGTTTTGAAGAGCAAAAAAGAGGACACATTTCCCGACTTCTACTTTTAACTATGGATCGCCATGATGACTCTCATTTTTAAAAGGAGGACATGTCCTAGAAAAGGAGGATATATGGCAAGTTTCACGCAATGTAAAAGCCACTTCCAGAACTATTGTGGCATACAGTGCATGTTTAGCAGTCTTTTCCATATTGTTTGGAAATGGATTTTTTCTGGAAGCAAATAACATGGAAATCTGCCCTATATTCCACAGCAATTCTAGAAATGGAATTTTATGTTATGTGAAAGCTCAGGTATAATGCAGAACGAAATGGGGAAGTCATGAAAACTGCCATATGAATGGCAGTATTCATTCATAGGCCAAAGTGTTCTCAGGCCCAACAAGTGTGTGTGTGTGTGTGTGGTGTGTGTGTGTGTGGCAGGGAGGAAGAGAAATTTGCAGCTGAGAATTTATTAGAAAGTGCTTAACTCACCCCCTGTTTGCAAAGGCCACCCTGCCAGCCATTTTAAGCTTGGTCCCCACCCCCTCAGCTGAGCTTGGAAGCCAGAAGCCCAGAAGACTGGGGAGAAAGGTCTTTGAGGAGAGAATTGCCAGATGTGTGGTGGATTAAACACATCAGGTGAAATTCACCTAACCAGCTCTCTCAGGGGAAGTACTGCATACGGACTTCTCTGCTAGCGCAACAGCCCCCCCCCCAATGGCTCCAGAGGAGTCAGGAGAATCCCCAGAACAGTGCACAGGGGGAGGAGAGGAGGTTCCATCTGGGAAGCTGCAATGTTTGCGCAGATGGAATAACTGGAAGGGCATAATGTTGAATTCCACCTCCGTTCTGCCCACTGATTACTTCATCAGACCTATTCAATTGAAAACAAGCCATTTTGAGCCTTCTGCTTCCCTTCCTTTGAGGATTTTGGGCATCCCTTCACGGGAAGAACCTGGCATAGATTTATGCAACAAAGGAATGTATAGCTGCACTTTTACCCCAATTTTGAATTGGATATTTTTTATCCAAATTAGGGTAAATTGCACCAGAAAATTTCCAGAGGCCCTAGAGCAGGCACGTCCAACTCCAAAGAGGCTGGGATCTACCCATTGTCATTGCCAGGAGTTGTTGAGCTTTTTTTAAGGGAGGGTTCACCAGAGCTATTGAGCTTATTTTGGGGATTGATAATGACCACCCAGGTTATCACTTTATTTTATACTGCGATCGACCAAAGACACCAAGGCGATCAACCTGTTGTACATGTCTTCCCTAGAGTGATATAATTTGGCATGTTTGTTTTACTTGTATTAAGTAAACACAACCCAAAGCTTCCGGTCTTGTCTAATATTGTGTTTGCAATTGGCCTTCATTTCTTAATATATTTTTTTATTATCATTATATTTCTTACCTGCCCTTCACCATGAGGTCCATAATGACCTGATGAAATGGAAAGATTTTCCGTGAAAAAATAAACCACTGGTGAACTTGAAAAAGGGCCATACTGGCTGTTACGCCTGCGGTCATTGCTGGTGAGACGAGCTCTGCTTAATAGAATCAGACTGGCGACTTTTAATTGTAACCTTTGTGGACCTTTTCTCCTCTTCCTGCTTCTCTTCCTCTCAGGCTGCTGCTTGCGGTTCCTGTGGTAATCCGCCTCGTTGTTCCGGTGTCGCAAAAGACAGGGTAAGTTGAACATGAAGGTTCCATCTAAATAAACATGTACTAAGCCTGTGATATATATTACAGTAGATATTTGGCATGCATTTCTACCCTAAGGAATAGATGTCAATCAAGGGCAAATAAAGGTTTGTTGTTTTTCCTTACAGGGGGAGACCCAGTCTTGTTACTATTATGAAGATGGATTGTCCACCCGTCCATGGTACTCCCTTTCTGAAAGAAGGTCTCCCTGGTTATATCGTCCACATGGGCTGAACAGATGGCGTCCACTTTCAAGGTCCTTGATGAAGGGGTGCAGGAGAACATGCTTTGTCGTTGAGTGGGTGCCTCAGTGCTGTCCAAACCACTATGGGAAAGATTGTCAGGGTAAGAGATCTTCGTTGTGTGTTCACAGGGGAACTGTATACTTGTGTGTGTTTTTCTCTTTCCTGGTGATCATAGTGATTATTTCAGCCAATAGAAACAACACCAGACTGTTCATCATAGTTTTCCTTTTTATATGGGGAAGATTCCCCATAGTTTCCTGTTGAGCTCTTTTTAGATTTACATGTCTTAGGAAGTAGCCCTCATAACTGCAAGCAGGAGCCACTTCAGATACTCCTTTGCAACCTGTTTGTGTAGTATGATGGATTCACTTGCTTTGTCCCGCTTACAAAAGTTGAAAAATTTCCTTTATTCCAACAACCCTTCCAACATACTTCTTTGCCTTGAATGGTCTGTGTCCCCCACCATCCCTTTCAAAATGATAGACTTCCTTTTTAAGTGACTTAGTGTATGTTCCACTTGGCCATAACACATATACCTGAAGGAGCGTCTCCACCCCCATTGTTCAGCCCGGACACTGAGGTCCAGCGCCAAGGGCCTTCTGGCAGATCCCTCACTGCGAGAAGTGAGGTTACAGGGAACCAGGCAGAGGGCCTTCTTGGTAGTGGCGTCTGCCCTGTGGAACACCCTCCCATCAGATGTCAAAGAAATAAAAAACTATGTGACATTTAGAAGACAACCCTGTTTAAGGAAGTTTTTAATGACTGATGTTTTAATGTATTTTTAACCTTCTGTTGGAAGCCGCCCAGAGTGGCTGGGGAAACCCAGCCAGATGGGCGGGGGTAGAAATAAATTATTATTATTATTATTATTATTATTATTATTATTATTATCATCATCATCATCATCATCATCATCAACAACATCATTATTCAGGAATTTCTTCTAATCGGCCACCTGGCAATGAATAAATGTTGGAGCGCCATGGGCCATGTTTGATTTAAATGAGTGAATGAGTGACTCTTACTTGCAGCAAAATCTTAAGCCTGTATATTCAGAAGCAAGTCCCAATGAGTTAAATGGGACTTATTCCCTAATTAGTGTGCTTCAGATATGATAGCCCCGAACATACCTTTAGCTTATTAAACATTTTTTTCTGATGACAGAAAGTTGACCCAGCTGGAGAAGACTTGAAAACCTAAGATCGCTGCTTGCTCCGCTATATGTAGAAAAAAAGGCATAGTTAGATTTCTTCAGTTTTTTCTAACTTCATCATGTAACAGTATGATACAAATTATCTTGAAGAACATAAGGCTGTGTACACACTCCTGTTTATTCTGCATCCGGCATGCTTCCACCGCTGGTTTGGGAAGCAGTGTACGGACATCATTAGCTACAATTTGTATCTATCCTGTCATTTCTTATGAAATACTGCATTTTGATGTGTTTCCTCCCCCATTCCAACTGCGATCAGAATTGAGAAAAAGAACGACCTAGCTGCATTTTAAACCAATGATGTGTCTGCATCTGTAGTGATCGTATTATACAGTACATTCACTGGCAAATGATAGGCTGATTACATCTTGATCATTATTATTTAATTGCCCAAAATAATTGTTTAGCACTGCACAAAATGCTAAAACCATACAGATCATGCCTTTAGACTTACAGTCCAAGACTTACAGACCAAGAGACGCTAGGGAGGAGAGGAAAGGGGAATAAAATGCAAGGAAGGTGAGTCCCACTACTTTCACCTTGCAGTTTGATTGCATATGGATGTGCTTCTACTGTTCTAAGACATTAGAGAAAAGTTAATGGTTTCCTAATTAGGCTGGTGTCTTTTTAAGGAGGCTGCTAACTTAAGCAATAAGGCTTCCGTTCAAGAGTGATTGCCAAAATGGTTATGGCTGCTTAATAAAAACGCCTTCTGTTGGATAACATTCAGTGCTTCCTGCCTTTCAGTGTGTCCTGGAGGGCTTAAGGAACCATGCAGCAATCATGGTACCTGTAACGATGGGCAGCAAGGCTCGGGATGGTGCTCCTGCAACAAGGCCTTCATTGGGACAGCTTGCGAGAACTGTGCCCCAGGCCACTATGGACCAGAGTGCAAAGGTACATCTTTGTTTTCAAAGACAGCAAGAGCCAGTAGCTTGAGTCTTCCTGCTCCAGTTTGATCTCAGCAAGTTCACTGGTAATATGCTATGAGTCAGGTTGCCATATCTGGTACCTGAGGATTGCTTTATAGATGTTTTCCTACGCCAGGCGGGCATGGAGAGCGCTAAAACAATGCATGGCCAGCTTTGTTCAATACCACATTTGAAGATAGGTGGCTGTCTCCACCCCCACCCTGCTCCATCTTGTGTACATGTCAGGAAGGTGCTGCCTGGGTGCAGCCTTACAATGCTTTTAGCTGGAAAGGGGTGTTTTCTTTCCTTACAGTACTGTTTGTCACGTGTGTTAGTACTTGAGTAATAAGTACTTTAAAAGCAAGGAAGTGAGATACCTACTCAAAATCAGCTGGCACATAACCTAAGCCTGTGCACATACCACTGTGTACAAAAATAGCCCTTTAATATTAATCAGCTTCTTCGTATCTAGCTGCTTCTTCTTCTTTGGAGATCACTCGTAGCTGAGTAAGATTGTCTTCCATAACAGGGTTTTAGCAGTGAGTCCGTAAGTGACTGTGGAGGCCAATTCTGGATCCACACGTCCTTCCACAGTGGGGACATAGGTTTCCAGGTGGGAGTTGATCATGGTGAAGGTTTGCCAAGTGTGCCTTCCTCTTGGCACATTTCTCCCTTTTGTCCTGAGTTTGAATGTCTTCAAAACCCATGACATCTTTGGTAAAGGCTGTCCTCCAATTGGAGCACTCGCAGGCCAGTGCTTCCCAGTTGTTGGTGTTTATATTGCATTTTTTTTAGATCTGCCTTGAGAGAGTCTTTAAACCTCTTTTGTTGACCACCAGCATTATGCTTTCCATTTTTAAGTTTGGGATAGAGTAGTTGCTTTGGAAGACGATCATCAGGCATTTGCACCACATGAAGTTGATGTGGAAGAATCATTGCTTTGACACTAGCCCAAGACAGTGACTATTACTTTTTTCTCTTTGCAGAGTGCAGTTGTACCAGTAATGGGATCTGTGATGAGGGGCTGCATGGAGATGGCTTCTGCTTTTGCAGTGCGGGGTGGACAGGAGAGCGCTGCGAGACTGAACTCGGTAAAGTAGATCCCAGCTAAATCCCTAAGCAGCATTCCTCCCACTGTCTTGATAGACATTCTAGGGAAAGGATCATGTTACACAGTTCCTGGGTGCTTCCCTGATTTTTGTCTTGTTCTTAACCCATTATTGTGCAAAAAAATCTTTTTGGAGTGCTTCAAAAGCTTTAAAAGTCTGTAGCAGCAAGGTGGAGATGAAAAATCACCAAGTGCAGACGCCATAGGTATGTATAGGGATGGCAGGCCTTCCAAATCCATAGCTTGCCCTTCCCCCACTCTGTGGATCATGTGCCCCCAGCCCAGCCCAGCCCAGGAAATCTAGTTAGCAAAGTGTTTTTGGCAAGTATGGGGAGGGTTAGAGAGATAAACAAATACAGAGATTCTCAAATAATTGGATCAGTTCAGGAATGTGAGACTTGAATGACAAGATAATGAAATGCTAAATACTGGTATGACCTGTAATAAACAAATCCAGAGAACTGGAGACAATGGCAGTGTAATCAAGTAACCTCTTCCTTCCCTCTGTCTGCTCAACTTACGTCACAGGCAATTCTGCTCTCCTGCTTCTTTTTTCACAAGCACAAGGGATTTATATTGCTCTCTGAACTGGTTTTCTCAGCATAATGGAAAATTGCTAAAGAAAGTGAGCCTGGAAGGCAAATGACCCATTATGCTGTGATTACATCTTTTTGCACATTCATAAGAATAATGATCATATACACTGTGGGGGGCAGGGATAAACAACAACATGTAGAGGGGGTTTCTTTCCATGGCAGCCCTGACCACAACCTCCCTCACCGCTATTTGTCCTGGGAAGGACGTTGCTCTTGGTGAGATTTTTTTGTCAGGATTTAGAGGTGGAGGTTACATTTGCGTGGACAGGCGGAGCCCCCCCCAACCCCAGGCGACCCCGAGTGGAATAATGACTCAAGACAATGTGCTATGGGATTAAAATTGGAAACAACTTTATTAAGTTTCAGATGCTAGACTAAAGGATTCCACCCAAGGCCTGAAACTGCCAAAGTTGTGATGTTTTGTTACGGGGGAGGCAAAACCTGCCAATGCAGGAAAATTCCTTTCCAGCCCTTTAACAGCGACTATGACGTAGCAGTGCCTGCGTAGCTGTGGAGAAGAAGTTAACTTGCAAAAGAAGGTTTAATTGAGGGGGGGCAGGGTGGGAGAAGTTCTGGAGCCAACTGATGCTTGGCAAGTAAGATTCACCTGTTGTGTGGGCAGGGCGGTCTCTCCCCTACCTGGCCGATCCCCTGGCAACGCCTCACCAGGTGGGATTGGGCGATGGGCTGAGGTAGGTGGAGACCTCCAGGTATCCAGCCTGGGGAGGGTGAAGCCAGCCCATACTACCAGGAGCCGCATTGGGATCTGGGGGGGCTGCGCACGACCACACAAAAGGTGCCCCCCCATTTGATGTGGGAAGCTATCAGTGCCTTTCTGCATTCCATGATGCTGATATTGAAGAGCACCCTAGTCATTTACATTTCATGTAATGTTTACTTTCTCCCTGAGAAGCAAATGACCTGCCCAAGGAAGCTTTGACGCTGAATGAGAAATTGCAGCTACCCCTGTGCTAGCTCAACACACACAGTCCACTGTACACTAGCCCAGAGTGCCTTTGATGTCTATAAACTGAGCAAAAGAAGATTAGGTTTGACCAGCCTCACTGTACACAATAATAGCATGGTTTTGGGGGGGGGCGGTTGTGGGAGAAGAGAGGTGCAATCTCTTGAAATAAACTGATTTGAGATGCGGTATATGTGTTTTGGTCACTTGCATTTTTGTTCCTATGAGAAATTTTGGCAGATGAAATGGTTTTTCAAACGAAACTTTCCCCCTGGACATGAGGAAATTTTCCATTGTTTGTGGACTTCCCACATCATCTCTAGCTGCAAGAGCAGTGCGCTGTGAAATAAGCCCTGAAATGTGTCTGAAAATGGAATGGAATTGACTAATGAGCCTGACTTCTTTTATATCTAGCTGCGGTGCCTGTGTGTTCCCCAGCCTGCCATCGTAATGCTGTGTGCCGGGTCCAATAATACATGCGAATGTAGCCTACATTATGAGGGAGACGGATGGACATGCAAAGGTATTGAATGAATCTAGCATTTAAGAACCATGTTTAATCAGTCACTAAGACTCTTGTCATGTTGGGGTAGTATCAGAAAAGCTTTTAATAATATGATGGTATTGCAAATAGCAACAAATTTAGATTGTGAACCATCCTAAGACCACTTATGCTACATCCTTGGATATAAGGTTGCATTCTCCAAGTGACTATATCGAGTCTGCGTGGGTTTTGTTTTTCCCCAGTAATGTTGCAAGATACTGTGACCATGGTCTTACAAACAGAGGGCTTATCCATGCTTACCTTTTGCCCTGCTCTCTCCAGGCACAGGTCCGTACTTAAAAGCTCCATGTCCAAGTGGTTTGTTTTTTTCTTTGCCGCAGAGATTTCCTTCTGAAAACCCTGCTCTTTAGTGCTCGATCAGAACAAATGTCAATTTGGGTTTCCCACGGATTGTCATTTGCTCTGATTGAGCTTTAAAAAGCAGGTTTTGGAAAGGAAGGATTTGGACCAAAAAAGAAGAAGAAGGGGTGTTCGGACATGGAGTTATAAAGTGCAGACCGTGCCTGGAAAAGAGAAGAAAGGTTAGTGTGGATAAATTTAGAGACTGGTTTATTTGTCACTGCTTCCCTCCCAGAGATGCTGGGAGGGAACTGAGGATCACCACCATAGAACTCTTAAGAATCCTATCAGATATTCCTTTGGGGAAGGTTTGTAATGAGGTGTGGACTTTGGAAAGCTCAAAGGCCATATCTCATTACAAACAAACCCTCCCCAAAGGAATATTTGGGAGGATTCTTAGCCTCTGAAGAGAATTGTTATTCTAGATTTACAGATGGAAAACTGCTAAGGAGAATTGTTTCTGAGAGGGTTACTTTAAAACATGCTTCCCTGAATTGAAATCTGTCCCAAACTACTCTAGTTATTGAAACTTAGAGACAGAGCACTGGTCATGATTCTAAAAAGTTGATAACAATCAAATGCTTGGATTCTCAAGTTATTTTTTATTATTCATTTTCAAACATTGCAGAGCCCTGACAATACAGTATACTTGTAGTATACATAAAATAAAATATAATTTACCTGCTGGTACTGGTTTGGTCAATTCAGAAGGTCCTTGGACATTAGGGTCATCTGGAACTGCTCTTCTAAAGTACTTTCTGAATAGAGATGTTTATAGAATCACTTCTGTCAGATTCCAAGCTGAATGATTGGTTTCCTCTATACCAGAATGCATTGTTGTGGAGGTACATTTTTTTGAATTTTCCAAGCTGCTTCCTTTTTTTGCACTCTTTGTATTAGAAACTCATCAAAGGTAAATCTTAAAAATGAGCTGTCTTTCCATCATAATATGGGCAGATGCATAGTAGTGTAAAAGCACAATTGTACAAGTATGCTTTTTAAAACTAAAAAGAATGAATGGTGAGTTGATGTTGCTTTTAATTTCCCCCACCAGTTCTGAGTACATGTACAAAACTTGTTTCCACATTCCAAAACCTGGCAATCCTGCTAGAATTCAATGTCAGTGGGATGGTGGCATCTCTCAGAACAGTTGTGGAACTGAAGGACTCTGCTCATCCCTACTTCCCTGTGTTTTTATATTTTGTTGGAAACCACCTATAGTGACCGGGGCAACCCAATCAGATGGGCAGTGTACAAGTAATAAATTAATAGTCTTATTCTTATTAAATGGCAAAAGAAGTACCAGGTGAGTCTTGTTCCCCAATTGGTAGCAGGAGGATTAGAGAGCCAGAAGTGAGGCTTTACTGAAAATTCTCTTTTTCATACAGTGATTGACCGGTGTGCGAAAGACAACGGTGACTGCAGTGACTATGCCAACTGCACACAGATTGGGATTGATGTTTCCTGCAGCTGTTTCCCAGACTACGAAGGTGATGGCTACATCTGCAGCCCCATTGACAGGTGTGCAGATGGCATGAATGGAGATTGCAGCGAGCACGCCACTTGCATCAACACAGGTCCTGTAAGTATGACCCTTGGTATAATACAGAGCGCAGCAATCCTAGGAAAATTTTGGGATGAAAATGGACAGTGGCTATAGAAACTCTGAGGTTCTTCACATTACCACTTGCATTCTTGTTGTCTGCTTGCAAACCCAAGCTTCAGTAAAGGAATGTGGAATTTTCTGTGCTATACAACTTTAGCTAGGAGCTGGGGAAGGAGATCTCATATTTAGTTTGCTTGCCAGAGTGCTGCATTTCACTTTTAGCAAAATCAAGGCAAAGCACTGCCTAGCTGGATGACTTGAAACCACATTTGTGAGAGCAGGGAAACTCACACATTTCTTCAGCCTCCTGAAAAAAAGCACCACCATTTTCAGCTCATGAGAATGCATGCAAAATACAAAGCACAGTGATGCAGGCGAAAGATTTCTGTTTGGATTTGGAAATGCAATTCAGTGAAAAGTGTCACCTAAGAATTAACCCCTCTTTGACCCTTCCAACATGTAAAGTTATCAGGAGACTTAGCATGACATTTCCCCTTTGGCTTGGTGTTCAATTGTCTTTCCCCCCAGTGGTCCTTGCCTTCTGCATCGTCCTGTGTTTCGCCATAAGATTGCTGTGATAATGTGGGTTCCTTTGCCTTGCAGAATTCCCGGCGGTGTGAGTGCCATGCCGGTTACGTTGGAAATGGAATCCAGTGCTTGGAGGAAGCTATCCCACCCATAGACCGTTGCTTGGAAAATAATGGGCAGTGCCACTCTGAGGCTCTCTGCAGTGACTTGCATTTTGAAGGTATAGGTCCCTGTTACCATCCTATAATTTCCATGGAACAATCCTTGTTTTATAAGATGTATGCTTTGTACCTGTAAGATTTTAAATAGTTTTTAGTGTTGTATTATACACAGTTGTAACCTGCCCCAGGACCTTAGAGTGAAGGGCGGGAAATAAACCCTCCTCCGCCTCATTGTCTCCCTTGTAATGTGTGTGTGCAACAGAGGGGGAACCCCAGACCCCATCTTGGCAAAGCTAGATACATACCCATTCAGGTCCATCTTCCTCTTTCCCATTAACACTCATCCAGTTTGATGAGCTTTCCTCTACTGCCCCTCTTGAAATTTATTGGTGGCCTCTTTTGCCTGCAGACATCTACCACCTCTTTCCTTGACTATTTTGATGCATTATCTATTAGGTCAGAGGATATCAGCCCCCAGGGGTACACTTGTTTCCTTGGCACTACCATGGAAAGCCTACCCAAAAGCTATCACTCAGCTTTCTTTTCCATGACCTCTCCCGTCTCTGAGACAACACTTTCCTTGAAAATGAAAAAGGCCTCGCAATCAGAAAATACAATTGCAGCTCAATCTTTTGCAGGTCACCTATTGCGTTTGGGTTGCAGGCTGTGAGTCTGCAGAAGAAAATGGGGGGTGGGAAGTGTTAGCCCTGAGTTGCAAACCGTTTCCCCTCAGTCATTTGTGCTGGGCACACCAAAGAGCACTTTGGGCCCACAGATGGGCCCACAGATGGGCCCACAGTCATTTGTGCTGGGCACACCAAAGAGCACTTTTCCAGATCTGACCCACAGCAATGTCTAAAGGGGCGCAATATTGTATGCTTGTTTTCCAGAAAAAACAGTCGGGGTCTTCCACCTGCAGTCTCCCCAGGGAAAGTACAGATTTACTTATCAAGAGGCTGAAGCGGCTTGTGCTGCTGAGGGAGCTACGGTGGCCACTCTTAAGCAGCTGTCTGCGGCACAACAGGTAACAGTGCAGCCATTGCCTCGCTCATTTCCCTTCACAGTTGGTCTGAGGAGTTCAGCTCTTCTCCCACCAAGTTGCTAAAAACGTGCGTGCGCACGCTTGTTTGTGCACACATGTGCCTCAAGAAGCCCTCGACATTCCTATTGGGTGTTGTTTCCCTGCCACAGCAGTTGCCTAACACACTCAAACTATTTCAGAAGGTGGGCCTACTATGGGTGTTGACCTGCTCTTTCTGTGATGAAATAGGCTGTGAATGAACAAGCATGGAAGGTAAATGCTCCTAGGTGGGTTCCTCCCCTCCCCCACACACTCCCGCACTCCACCCAATAACAATGGTTTGGTAAATGAGCATCTTGCCTATGACACGTGAATGAAATGAAATACTGCCCCCTGCAGCCCAGGCATGGCTTTGCAGTCTGAGTGAGACAAGTACATGGTGTATAAGAGCAAGTTGGCTCTCGGTGAGAGAACCTGTTCAAGGTCATGGTCTGACTGAAATACAGGACGTTAAGAGAAGCCTGTGTTTCTTTTCTTTCTCCAGATGGGTTTCCACCGGTGCGTAGTAGGTTGGCTTTATAATGGGTCAGCAGGCTACCCAACTGTGTACCCGAGTTTGAAGTGTGGCAGTCACCATGTTGGAATTGTGGACTACGGCTTTCGAAGTAACGCCAGTGAGAAGTGGGATGCTTACTGCTACAGAGTTCAAGGTGAGAAAGTACGGCTTGATCAGTATGAGCTCAAACCAGGGATACCTCAAGTTTGGCTAGATGGGGACATTGAAGCTAGCGAGTGCCCCAAGCTGAATCGAGGATGGAATAGAGAAGTGAAGCTAAGTGGGATGGAAGCTCTGTTGCCTGAAGCTGATTTGCATGCCAAAATCATGGCATACGGAAGTTTACACCATCTCTTCCTCCTTTCCCCCCTCTTTCAGATGTGCAGTGTGTCTGTAGGGATGGGTTTGTGGGAGATGGCTACACATGCACAGGGAGCCTTGTGGCAGTGCTGGCCCAGAAGGCAAATTTCTCAGTCTACTATTCTGTAAGTACATGAATGCTTCTTTTGGCTGGTATGGAGCAGGGAGGCCTTGGGAGGTGACTTTCTCTATGTATTCTTGCTGCTATGTGTACCTGAGAGCAGGGGCTCCCAGCTTAGGGGGCCATGGACTTATCCCAAGAGGTTCATGAAGAAGGTATTCTACCCATCTGCTCACTCAGTGTTTAAAGGAGAAGGGGGGGTGGCTGCTGCTTCCAAGAGCAGAGCTATTCTTTTAGGCTGACCACCACATTCCTTTCTCTGTTTCAGATGGTACTGGATTATGCCAATGCCTCCCAAGAAGGATGGGAATTTTTTAATTTCCTCTCCACAGACATGACTTACAAAACTCTTTTTGTACCCCTGAACTCCGGCTTTCGGAAAAATGCAGTAAGAAATGCAAAACAGGATTTTGTGATATTATTATTTTGTACTTGCACCGCAGCCTTAACGTGGTTTAGTTTTGGTTGAATGAACGCATGAATAATTGTATGGCTTAATTAACCAATGGTCATCACTGTCTACAAGAACTGGTCAAATATAAGATCATTGAAGCAAACCATTGTATCAAAATACATTCAAATCAGATTCCCTTAAAGCAAATGACCTCCAAAAGAAAAGACTAGATTAAATGTTTATTCCCTTTTCCCGTGGAGTCCTGGGAATTTCTGCGGTCTCAGGGAATAGAAGTTTGTAGCACCTTGGCCAAATTATGTTAGAATTATTTGGGAAAAGCCATGGCAGCTAAACCATAAATCTAATTTGTTGCATTGATAATGGCCTCAAAGTAGTTCTGAAACAAGGTTTCTATTTTAGAGGAGACTTTCCTGCATTCCATACCCAAATAAAGCCAGTGACATCAACTAGCCACAGAGTCCCTCTTCTTCTGTCATTTAAATGTAAATGAAAGCTTTGCAGCAGAATAGCTTTGAAGAATGTCCTCAGAGCTGAGCTCCAAATTTATTTTCTGAGGTTTAAAAATAAACTCTTTAATCCGATGGCGGAAGGTATTTTCAAGGAGGCGTTGAAAAAAGAATGAGTTTCTTTTCATGTTTTAAGTTTCAGAACGTGAAACATCCTCACAGCGGAGACTGGCAGCCCAGTCTGTGAAGCGTGGTAGGACAAAGAGACCCTAACTTTACACTGGGGCTGTCCAAAACAATGAAGCTAACATACCTAGTTTTATATCACTTGAACAGAAAACAACATATTCAACTTGTGAAGGAATGCAGAATTTGCTGTATCTGCATGGCCAAGCACCAGGGGTTATATAATGGATGGCTCTTTGCTCCAGTGAAGGCTTCCATGAATAGAAGGACACCATTTTTTAAAAAATCCATTCTCAATCCTAGGGAACAAACTGGGGTGGGGGGCAGGCTCAGGGGCAGCAAAAGGGGGAATTAGTGAAAATTGCTTCCCCCCTCCATTCTGCTCACAGAGGCCTCCAAATGATTGACAAACCTTCCACGAGTGGAGAGATACAATTCAGTATCTCTGTTCAATCCTTTCCAATGGCTCTGCCCCAGCTGTGCTTGTGTTGTGTGTATATATTGTGTTGTCATGCAGAGAAGGTTGCAATGTGTATATATTGTGTTGTCATGCAGAGAAGGTTGCAATGAAGTTGGCTATGGTTTTGTCTCTCCTATTTTCTCACCAATATCACAACTTTGAATGGAACTGAAACTCTTCTTTGTTTTACCAGTCTCTAACACTGAATGATCTGAAGCTTCATTCATCTGCGAGAGACATGGCCCTGATGAGCTTCAATCTCACGTCTGGTGCAGTTATACCTTCGCAAGCTGGATTCAACCTTTCCATTGCAGATTCCACGAATAACACCCGCTTTCCTGTAAGTATCTCATATGGATAACGACAGAATCAGCTTTACCTTTATGGATTTGACTGTGTAAAATGCTTTGCACCACATGCAGCAAATTTTATTTGCAATCCTTGAAGGCTTTAAACTGTAATTCAGTGGTTTAGTAATTTGGTTTTCTTCACTTTTATTGCAGCAGGGTTGTAAGATGATTAATAATTCAGTGATAGTTGAATGGGATATTCTGGCCTCCAATGGGATCATTCATGCTATTGAAGCACCTCTGATGGCACCTCAACTTGGGCAACTTGACCAGGTTGGTTATTAGTTGGTTTGTATTAATCTTTCAGAATTATCCTGCTGCAGAATAATCCAGTTTGCATCCTATTGCTCTCTGCTTTACTACATAAGTAGGATTTAAATTCAGTCTTTTAAGAAGTGATGTGCTTTGCAAATAATGATCAGCGGATTTGACTCTGTGTGTTCCAAGTCTATATATGGAGGCCATGTTGTTTAACTAACATGGATCTGATTGTAATTCCTTTTTTCCATAAAATTTCAGCTTTTTAAGATTGTGCAGTTACTCATTTTCAGACGAAGATCCTGAACAACAAAATAAACCATATCCAATTTCACAGAACCTATAAACGAAAATTCACCCCAAAACTAAGCCATAAAAATTACCCAGTTTCTTATGTTCAAGGCCAAAATGATACTATAAATGATACTATAACTATCCGATTAGCTACCCAGCAGTAACAGGATAACCAAAATTATGATCAAGATGCAACATTATATTGATTGAAGAGAAGGAAAGCTGCAGGGCTACTTGGGGGTTGGTCAGAAGTAAAGGTAAAGTAAAGTGACCCCTGACCATTAGGTCCAGTCATGACCGACTCTGGGGTTGCAGCGTTCATCTCGCTTTATTGGCCGAGGGAGCCGGCGTACAGCTTCCGGGTCATGTGGCTAGCATGACTAAGCCGCTTCTGGCGAACCAGAGCAGCGCATGGAAACGCCGTTTACCTTCCCACCAGAGTGGTACCTATTTATCTACTTGCACTTTGACGTGCTTTCGAACCTCTAGGTTGGCAGGAGCAGGGACCGAGCAACGGGAGCTCACCCCGTTGCGGGGATTCGAACCGCCGACCTTCTGATCGGCAAGTCCTAGGCTCTGTGGTTTAACCCACAGCGCCACCTCTCCTTTATTGGTTGCTGCTTCCTGTCCAACTTCTCTGGCAGTTTTCTACAGCTTCACAGCATGAAGCATGCCAACTCACCTCTTGCTCTGGTGGCTGTTATCATAATGATAAGAGTTTCGGATTTGCTGTAGAACAGCGTGGCACTTAAAAAAACACTAGCTGCCTTTAACTAAGGCAGGACTCTAATCCAACATTTTGAAATATGAACAAAATTGCTTTTCACAGGTTGTTGGTGCTGTGAAATCACCTGCTGCTGTGACCATCAGTGTATCCATTGTAGTCTCCCTAGTACTGTGTGCAATGGTGGCTGGCGTGTCCTACATCTACCTCAAAAGGAAGAACCAAGGATTCCAGTTTCGCTATTTCAAGGTAACTTCGTCGTGCATTTTGTTTATTTAAACCATTAATATACCACCTATCATAGTCTCTAAACGGTTTACAAGTCCTGCAAAGTGTCAGCTCTTCATTCATTACTCCCACAGACTTTCCACCATCAATTATATGGATTAAGTGGGGAAATATCTTTTAATTTGTTGCATTCTCATTTCTGGTCACAGGCACCTGTAACATTGCACCCATGCCAAGTATTGGGAGGAATTCAACATAGCACTTACAGTTAAAGTTCCTTAAGAGTGTACTACTTGTGCTAGTGGAATGGCTTGCACAGGAAGCCAGTACAGTTGGATGCGTAACAGATTTTATCTAGCCCTGATACTTCCTGTTGCTCAATCAGTTGCACAACCAGCTTTTGTTTTTTATTTTTACAAGATTTATATCCTGCCCTTCATCAAAAGAGCTCAGGGCAGTTCACAGAATAAAATACAGGACAAAAACAAGTAAAGAATTTATTATTTTTTTATAGCAACCACTCATTTTTCTGAGGAAAATAGTTTGCTTAAAAGTTTCATAATTCCTCACATCCCACTCACATTGTAGCTTCAGTTATGCATCACAATAGGCAGGACAACTCTAGCTATCAGCTCATTTGGCCAGCCATGCTGCAGGTGTATACGGGATGAGGGAATCCATTTGAGCACTAATGAAAAAGCATTATATCAATACTAATTATTAAAGTTATAGACCAAATTGATGTCAGTGGTTTGTGTCTTTTAAAATTAATTAATCAGCTTTGCATTTAGAAGGGCACAGACATGCTTAGCCTATTTCTACTTTGCCTGTAGGCTGAGCTGGAAGATGACGAACCTTCTCCCTGGGAGGAAAGGAGCCCACACTTGGTGTCCATTCCAAATCCCATTTATGGAGCAGACATCTCAATCTATGAACCATTTGAGGTAAGGCATCTGACCTTTATATTTTGTTGATAAACTTCACTACACTTTGTATAAATGTTTCTAATTTCAACCTTTTCTACATTTACTGTCCATATATAATCAAAATTAATTAAGAAAGAATTAGTCTCTTAACTGGATCATTTAGAAGCCGCCTTGATTTTCAGGCAATCTGAAGAGGCATTGCTCCCCCAGTCTAGTGGCTGTACCTGAGTATCACAATAAACCAGCATTTATAATGACAGGAAAATTCTACCCTCCTTCTGGACTTGACCACTCCCTTGCAGCAGAGCTGCAACTTTGAAAGCTTTCCATTCCCTTTTCAATAAAATGCAGTTAAACTTTTTGCAAGAGCCCCCAAAACTGTGGCAAACCTTAACAACGCTGTGTTTGAAGGAAACCAACTTAACTATGGTTTGTAGAACTAAGCCAGCTTCTTCAAGATTAGCTAGTTTAGGGTTCAGACTAATGTTAAAATATGATTAATTCAAACCGGAAACAAACACTTCTGCTGTCCTTGCAGTCTCAGCAGAAGAGAGAGGGGAGCATGCAAGTTTGTGGGAAAGCTAGGTTGATTCCTGTGATCACAAACCATAGCCTATCATGGCATCTGAATACAAGCAAAGTTTTGCTTTTCCATTCATCTTTCAGAAGGCGATCACCAAACTGGGATTGGCAGTACTTAGTATCTTGGCATAGTGCCGTTGAATAATCTTCAATAAAAGATCTAAAATGGTGAATTTAAGGCTGCCCAAAATGATTGCTTCCTTTGCTCTTGCAATGTGCACCAAGCCACAGATGGTCCACATGGCATATTTGTAGCGGACAATTGATATTGTAGTGACTGGTTTGCTTGTACTACAGTAAGTTTGCAAAAGTCAAGCTTGTTCACTATAGAACTCTTGTCAGATTAACTGGCCTAATATGTATTTGAATGTTTGTTTCAGGATTCTCTCACCGGAGAAGATTTTTCAGATGCCTTTGGAATTCGAGGCGACCAGTAAGCTGGAAACAACACTTTTCCAGAAGCTATGTAATTCAGAATGAACAGAATATGGCTGTTATGGACTGCTAAGAAGCCTTGCCTGCCCTTTCAATGGTGACAAATTAACAAGCGGCTTAAATTGTAAATGTTTAACATACCTCAGTTCCATTCCTCTTCTCAAATACATGTGCAGGAAATTGGGGCCCATAGAGCTCATTGCCCTTGCATGCACACAGGGACTTTGGCAATTTTCTGTTTGAATGTAGCCCCCTTGTGCTGTTTTGGGTGTCAGGAATGAGTCTTTGGGTGTCATAAGGAGTGGCAGTAGGAAGGTGAGGGATGGAAAGTCATGTTGCGTTCTTTGGATTCTGCTCCTAAATCTTCAGGCTGAAACTTAGGGAATATGATGACTCTTGAATGTGTTTGGATCGGTGGATGCTGTGGAGAATCTTCAGTGGGCCAATAAAATCTGAGTTCAGTTAGATAACTTTACTCTGAAACTGCACTATGCAGCCTTCTGCCGATCCCTTTTTTTAAACGTTACTTAAAAGGCAGTTTGAAATAATACTGCCTGAAAACTGTAGGCCCATCTTCGTTTATAATCCTGCTGAATTTATGTACTGTTCCGTGAATGACAAATGTTTGTAAATGAATGGGAACAAGCAAATGTCAACCTTCATTAAGCGTTTGGTTATTTTGAACCTGAAGATAGTTATTCAACACTTAGTAAGGATACATAATGGTGAAAAGGTATGTTCTGCCTTATGACTGAGAGCCATTATTTAGTAATCTCCACACTGCCATAAGAAAAGACAATGTCAAGAAAAAGTCATTATCCCATGATGCAATACTTTATTTTTGTAAAAATAGGAAATAACCAACAAAAGAAACATTCTACACTTGCAAGGTCACTTAGAACAAACCACAAATTCTGTGTAGTGTGGGAAAGAAGAATGAATGTTTGTGCAGATTGTTATGAAGTAGGCACGCAGCTGACAACAGGATGCTTTGTGAGCAGACCTGTGAGCCAAAACTATTTTACCTAGCGCAGACAAAATTTGACCAAATCATTATTTCAGTTCTTCAAGTTCTGAGCCATTTGGCATTATACAAAGTAGCCTACTTGTAATAGAATGAGGATAATGCTAACTTGAGCACCTTATGACACAGAACCTTAGGTTGGGTTTCAAAAATGCTTCAAGAAAATTCTTAGAATAATTTAGATAGAACAATGTCTGACAAGTAATCCAGTATCACTTTTTCTGTGGAATACAGTAAATACATGGAAACAGTATAGCAAGTTAATTGGTTTCTCTGCCATTTCAATCTTACAGCTTTTCATTCAAATGCTCATTTCCTTCACCTAAACGTCTAGCCAAACTGATATTATATCACTTAGGAAAACTAGCTGTTTAATATATTTCATGTTCAAAAGCTAGGTCACAGATGGCTTTATGATGCAGGAATCGTTATGTTAGTTATTCATGTTATCTCTTCTGTGCAGTATAAAGTTAATTGGCACATTTAAAGCAGGCAACATTAATAAGGAAATGAAGTGACATCAAGTTTTATACCTTCACTTTGAATGGGAATGCCCAGCCTTTCCAGAAATTCTATGTTGGGCAGGGCTCCCCCCCCCAATTTTATTCTGGTTGACACCCCTGTAGGCATTCCACAGTGTTATGTGTTTGCCTACACAGTCCTTATCTGTTTTTAAAAGTCATCATGTTTGAAGAGAGACTTGACATAGTTGAGAACGTGTCAAAAGAGAAGAAATAACAATAAATAAATAACAGCCCTACATAATATAATTAGCTTGCAGGACACATGCAGACTATATAACTATAGTTGTCATTAAATACAGTGGTACCTCGGGTTAAGTACTTAAGAACAGACCTCTAGAACGAATTAACCTGAAGCACCACTTTAGCTAGTGAGGCCTCCCACTGCCGCCGCTGGGCGATTTCTGTTCTTATCCTGAAACAAAGTTCTTAACCCGAAGTACTATTTCTGGGTTAGTGGAGTCTGTAACCTGAAGCGTATGTAACCTGAAGCATATGTAACCCGAGGCACCACTGTAGTAGAAAACTTCAGAGAAGCCATTTTAAGGTATGTTTGTTTCCTTACTTAAGATGTGAATGATAAAGTGATTTATTTATTTTTGCACAACTAAACTTAAGCCTATTATAGCTACAGAATAATTTATCAAACCACATTTTATAAACTAGCTCAGTGTGTTTGACTAATATGTAGAATTCTAATATAATTCCCTAAAAGAGTAAAATATAAGATACAGTACACAAAGGCCAGTATCCTAGTCTTAAACGACATCACTTTGGTACCATATACATGAGAAACAGCAACAAAACATCTCCTAAAGCATCAACTACAGTGACAACAATTTCTATAGCTTGACAGTAAGGTTGCTTTGGCATCGTTAGAATGCAATTTACCATGTCAATGCACAGTTCAGCTTAATTCCAGTTTTGAACTGCCATTTGTAAGACAAAATAGTTCTTGATAGATTTTTTTAAAACTGTGCTGGAATCATTTGGAGCAGCTTTATTTATTTATAGCCATACCTAAATTAGCCAGCACAAAACCCAGTATAGAATTCAATCAGATTGCAATATTTAAAAAAATAAACACAGGTCCCCTGCCCAGCTTTTAATTTATACTCCTGCAACGCTTATCAGAGCCAGCCCAAATGGACTTTGGTGAGTCTTCCAGGGAAAGATGTTCTATTAAATGGTATGTTTCTGATCTGCAGTAGCTGGGTACAAAAACAGGTATTAAGTTGAGGGTCAGGGGGCTCCATTATGATGAAATATAGAAAAGACGTGTCGCCAAACTAGCTTCGGCCCAAAATGTTTGCCTTTACCAATATATAGGAAACGGCCTTCTATCAAGTCAGACCAGTTGCAGGATTTTAGATGGGACATTCCTAAACATACAGAGAGCTTGAACATGAGGCTTTTTATATGCAGAACAAGTGCAAACACTGTAACACTTCGGTTAACATGGTCTTGATAACTCACCACTTGTATTAGCTGATGCTTCTTCTGAGTAGTCTTTCAATGGCAGCTCCACCTATTGCACAGTGAAAGAGACCCAGGTTTACATCTCACACAAAGGAGAAAGCACCCATGGCTTCAGCCATTGAACCCTAGGCTCACCTTTTGCAGCACGCTGGTGATAGATTGCGTCCTTCATTTGTGTCAGGCTAAAAAGTAGCAGATGCTTAAATAGAACACCATTTGTTTCCATATTTTGATCTCAAGTTAAGAAATAGGTTTGAAATTCAAGCTACACTTATACAATGGTGAAAAGTAGTTTTTAGAAATATATGGGATGGTATATTTAATAGGGCTGATTGAAACATGCATGCACATCATGTGACGAGTGCAGCAACGACGTTCATTGTTGAGCCATTACAAAGCTACCACATCAGCTGATGTTACCACAAACACAGTGCTTTCCAATGGTCAGGTCACACATTGTGCTACAAGTCAAAGTGTAATCAAGTGGTACATGTGGACCAGTCCACGCTCTAGCAGAAATGCACACTACCTATTGTGAAATCTCACTGTGCTCTCAGCAGCAGTCATTGATCTGCCAGGTGAGATACTTTGCTTGTTTAGCCCTTCTGGGCCATGCTCACAATAAGCTCTGTTGATCACTACATTTGTACATAAAACTGAATTGGCTATATGTTGTTGATTATACTGTGCTCAGTTGTGCAAAGATACACAAGCTAGCACCTTTGAATTTATAACCTAATCAAGTCTTAATCTAGCACATTCTGAGCTGCTGGCAGTTATTAAAGTTCTTTTGCCAAGGATTTAGAGTGCATCTCAGTGCTAGTGAACCAAAAGTAATTCTGGCTTAGGTCTTAAGAATATAAATGTGTCCACATTTTAGTAGGAATACATCCAGAGCTATTTGCCAATATAATCACAGCTAAGTCACATCTAAAGTCTGGGTAGAGACATGGACAAATAGGGCTTTATAGTATCAACAAGTTCTGAGAATATCATCGGATCATGGCTACACAGTGCACAAACTCTGGATCTACACAAATGTTTTGGGTAGAATCTCTATGTAGAAGGAACTACTTTATGGAGACAGTGCACAGGAACCTAATTCACCTTTAACTTGAGTATCTATTAGGAAGTGCTGGGAGGCAAAGGACAGCAATAGGCACACACTGTAACCAGGTTGCAATCTAAGGCTAAGCTGCTGGGCCCTTCCTATACAACAGCTGTATCGCAGCAGTGGGACATACACATCCTTTCACCGGATGTGCACCATTTCCTCCAAGAATGGAGTCTTCATGCAACCAGTGCAGAGCTGGTCCATCCAGAGGGGAGCTTCATGCTGCAGCGGAGTGCGCCGGGGGTAGAAGGTGAAGTTGACATCATAGTTCAGCAGGCAACTGATGGATGCCATGTAGATGTCAGAGAAACGGATCAGTCTTCGAGAAAAGTAGGTCGGGTTGTGGAAGGTTCGAAAGATGCTTCCAAATTGGGGGTTAAAAAGATTCTTCGAAAGTGACCTGGAAGGAAATAATTTGCTATTAAGCCATGAGAACAGAAACCCTTGAAAACGTCTGGGGTTGTGCACGGACAGGCGGAGAACCCCTCCAGCCCCGGGTGACAGCCGAGTGGAATAATGACTCAAGACAACGTGTTATGGGAGTAAAATTTTATTAAAGCTCCAGATGTAGGGAGACCTTGGCTTAGGCATTGGGCGTTTATCCCTCCCAGTCCCCAGCCAGGGATCTGGGGAACATCAGGGTTATCCAGAATGTGTGGGGATTGGGCTGGCTCTGGAGAATGTCTGTTCAAGCAGAGAGCCCGTCCCCCATTTCACCGCTGTTGCAGGGGAGAGCAATGACAACCTCTTGGCGTATGGCCAATGCCTCCCATCAAAACAACCCCTTTAACGGGGAACCGTGGGATCGCTGCCGCAGGAGGGGCGTGGGTCACCGCTTCACGCCCCCCCCCATTTAGGGAAGATAGACTAAAGGATTCTGCCCAATGCCTGAAACCGCCAAAGTTGTGATGTTTTGTTACGGGGGAGGCAAAACCTGCCAATGCAGGAAAATTCCTTTCTGGCCCTTCAACAGCGACCATAACGTAGCAGCGCCAGTGTAAAGAAGAGGCTAACCTGCAAAAGAAGGCTTAACTGAGGGAGGGCACGGTGGGAGAAGCTCTGAAGCCAACTGAGAACTCCCAGGTAAGTTCTGCCCACTATTGTGTGGGCAGGGCGATCCCTCCCCTTACCTGGCCAACTCTCTCCTGGCAACGCCTCCCCAGCTGGGATTGGGTAACTGGCAGAGGTAGGCGGCTACCTCCAGGTGTCCAGCCTGGGGGGGGGCAAATTCAGGCTGTACCGCCAGGAGCCACATGGGATTGGGGTGGGCGGGCTGCGCACGACCACGCAAAAGGTGCCCCCCATTTGATGTGGAGAGCGGTCATTGGGTTACCGTAGCTACTCTGCTGTGTATGGCTGGTAGATTAGTCTGTTTAAGGGAGCACCCAGCATCCTCTTTAGAGCTTGCTAAAAGCTTTTCCTGCACCTCTTAAGTTCTGAGAGACAGATGAGGAGTGCCTGACATGTTTGTCTTGCTACTTCACCTGCCCTTAAGTAGGCCACCTGCACCCCTGAACTGTGTTCAGTATAGAAGCAAAGCAATATTGGGGATTAGCATACTATGAAAATGCCTTTTTAGTCACAACCAGTTCCTAATTAAGTGCGAGATTTGTGTTTGGAATTTATGTAATAATGCAATGACAGTTTTCTCTTTTTTTGAGGCGGGGAGGAACAGATGACAATAAAAAATATCAAGACCCACCTAATTTCCTGTCGTTCTTTCATCCATTCCAGTAGCACCTGCCTAGATTCTGCATCTTGATACATCTAAAAGTAAAAAAAACAAAACCAAGATGTTTGAATATTGAACATATCTGAATATCAGGCTAAATACATGATTTAATACTTATGAAGGTTGCAGTTTTACATCTCCTTTCTTCAGAGAAAAGAAATACAAACCAGGAAATATAGCCAGGAAGTTGGCTTAGCTACGGTTAGGGTGATGGCAAGCCTAACCATAATCATGCTAGGTAACTACCCAATAAAATCACCATTTGGTCTATTTTACCTGCATTCTCTCCAAAAGTCCTGTAAGAGCCTGCTGCCAAGTCAAAGAGTGCATATATTGTTCTGTATTAATGATTCGGATTTCCGTTTCAAGTTCTGGAACAATGGCACCTGTCCTCCAACCATGCCGCAGCATGAGATCCTAAGAAAGAGGGAGGGAAGGGCATAGCATACGATACTGTGATGCAGCCTTGTAAATAAGCCCACAATACACATTTTAATAGCCCTGGCATACTGATAAATCAGTTCATAGCCTGAAGGAACGTTTTTCATCCAGTTCTTACTCGCCAACAACAAGCAGGAAAGCCACTATTCGTTGTTAGCTTTTCGCTTTATCCTATAGTCTACTCTTTTCTTTCTCACACCATTAAATTTTTAAATAAACATTAATCTTCTTTTAGCTTTATTAGTCCTTGAGGAGTGGCAGTCCTTAGGAGTGGAGAAGAGGGGGTGGCGATCTCTGGGTTGAACAGAGTGTGCTACAGAAATGTATGGTGGTTATGTTTTATTTACAAAAAAAGGAAAAATGCTTAGTAAACAAAATGCAGCAGTTGAAATATGTTTGTAGATGACAGCATTTGCAATCGCAGGTTAGGGAGTCTACTCAAGGCCAGTTCATTCCCAAAAGCAGTCAACCACTCATGCAGACTTGGTTTTATTCCCCTTAATGAAAAATATATATACCCTGCCTACCAAAACATGAAGATAGCATACAAAAGATACAATATACTCCAAAAACTATGATGTCAGATACAATAAAAGTACCCAATAAAACCATTCAATAAAAGCTCTGCAGAGTTTTTCCTAACAGCAGCCTCAGCAAGGAAATCAGCTTGAGTGTAACTGAGCCAGCGCACAATGTCAGCTGGCAGGCTGGAGCTCTTCAGATGTGCATGTAAAGAGATATAGCAAGATAGAATCCTATGCATTGTTATTACAGAACAAGTTCTACTGACCTCAGTGGGCCCTAGTATTTTTGACTAAGCATGCATAGCAATGGGCGCCTGTCCAGCAGAAACACCCTGCCTCCCCCCGCCCCATCCAATTTTCTGGAATGGTTCTTGCAAGGTGCAAGGGGTTGCTGCCAGAAGGAAATAGCCTCTCTTTTCACAAGGTATAAGGCAGATCCTGGCCAAGCAGAAAGGGAAGAAGTGGTGGGAGGAGAAACCTCATTTTCCAAGTTGCCTTTAGAAAAATAAAGTTAAAAATAGTAGAGAAAGTTGACACATAGGGGGTGGGGAGATCCAACAGTTACTTTTTAAACTGTTATTCTTAAAAATGGTTATATATGGACTGTGGTTTGGAAATGTGCCTTAAAATGGCAGACTAGAAGAAGAAAATATTGGACCTTTTGCAATAAACTTGATGCTGGTATGGGTTTCAAATCAGGACTGGCTAAAAAGGAACCACCTATGCAATGGGAGTTGATCATGCTGAAAAAGAATCAAAGCTATAGTGTGGGTGTCTTCCACAAATATATCCCAGAGCAACAATACTGAAGAATGAAGCTGTCCTTGGATTTTGGTAGCAAGCAGAGGCCACTAAGTAGCACTGAGATAAAATTCCAAGTGGGATTGGAGTACTTACTGCAAGGTCGCTGTACAAATGGTCACCAAAATAAAGGACCTTGGACCCACGCCAGCCTGTTAGCCGCAGAAAATCAAACAGATTGCCCTTGAAACATAAGATGAACAAAAGAATGTGAGAATAAACTTAAATATCTGGTTTCTTCTTGCAAAGAAAAACAGTGTGTGCCGGTCTTGAAAAGGTCAAAAAAATAAGTCTCTCACTACTTTGATTTTTCTGCAGAGCCAAGGAAACAAAGAGAAAATATTTGTTCAGAATAAGCTGCTTATTAAAAAAAACATCCATGGGTAAAAGCTTAAGGAGTTCTCACGGGAACTTTGTCAAATTAGGGGAAATGGCGACTTTGGAATGCTAGATTTATAATCCCATCATTCCTACAAATTCATATCTTGCATGTTGGTTGTATTCAAGGAACCATTCCTAAATTTATAGACTAACTGATCCCTAAGTGTGTGGTGAGTTAAGTTCTTATCTGATTTAGCCTCACTGTAGCTTTGTACAACAATCCACTGCTACTGTAGTATTCAACAATACTACAGTTGAAAAACTACAAACAAAAAGGGGTTGCATCCCGAAAGCAATGGGACTGATGTTAGTAATGATTAATTTTGGTCCCATTACTTTAAATGGGTCTGCTTTAAAGCATAGCTAAGTCATGATTCATGTTAGTGATTTGCTACATGCTGAACATTAATTTCAAGATAGTCTAGGCACAATTTCAATATGCTACTCCCAGGGCCCTCAAAGTGGGACACAGGCTATCTTATAAAGGTACACTTACTTTTTTGCAGTGACCATTATCTGTTCCTAAGCTTCTCCCCATTGGCCCAGCTTCTGTATGTTTTGACTGGGCTGTAAGGCAGATCTGTCCTCAGATATCCTAGCAGCAAAACACAGGCTGCTGGGTTCCCTCCACTATTACTCATGCTTCCTAATGAATCCTGGCATGACCAGAACTAGACTTCCATCATCACTGACGTCAATCCCAACCCATCACATTCAAATTCATGCAGGATGAATAAATGACATTTTTTGTTGTTTAAAAGATCACCCCAATTCCAACTTTAGGAAACTTTCCCAACATTGGCATGCCTAGTAAGAATGGAGAAATGTGTTAATTTCAGTGGGAATTTGTTGTCAACCACATACACACACACCAATAATCATCTCCCTAACTATGACAACCATTCAAATGTTTGTGCTGGGAAGGTTTTAACATATTAGATTCTAAGACAAGAGTCTGGTAATAAAGACATCTGGGAAAAACACAACTAGGAAACTGTGGGTCAAAATGATTTCCCTACTGGGACACTTTTACCCATGTATTAGGTCACATATGGTATGAATATACAGAGCCTTCCTCATCTTCCTAGTCTCATCCACACAGCATTCTATTAACAAATCCTGAAGATATTTAGCCATATTATGTTTGTTTGGATGATGCTACAGCCATTGTCCAATTGGCACCATATTATGTCCGAAATCATTGACTCAGCAATGAAATACTTTGACATTATAATTCTGAAGGCCTGATTTGATCACTGCACTGCCTCAGAACCATTTCTGAATTTTAGAGAGCTCAACTGCGAATCACATAAAGTGGGATACTAACTATTTTATCTTCTACTGATCAATAATCTTCTAGCCTTCCTCAAAAGATTTTTCAAGACCCTGCTAACTCCTAGTCTACCTGCGGAACAAGACAACCTCGCCTACATATTAAAAGAGGAAAACAAAATCTTCCTCAACTGTTTTCCTTCAGAAACAATGGGATGAAATCATTTCAAAAGAGCAGGACAAATATGTTTATGACTTCAGAAGGGTAATTATCCACCTCAGCTTTTAACTTATGACATATTTGCACCACAGTTCTAAGAATGGGAGATTCTAAGAAAATGGAAATAAAGAAGCTATGGAAAAAGTATAAAATTACAGCTTTTGAAGAAGAGTAGCCAATACTTTTTTCATGCTTGCTCACATACTTCAAAGTGACTCAAAAAAATTCTAGTATCCTTAAGCTAAGCCATGAAGTGATAAGATACTGTTAAGTAGTCTTACCTGTTTGTAAATTTTCCCCTTTTCCAGTTTGCTTATTTTATCCCAGTGCAGTGAACCTTTTTCATCCATTTTCCTGAAGGGTCTACAAAAGTCAAACAACTGCTGTTACAGGCCTGCAAACGGGTGAGTCTTGCTATGGAAACTTGAAGTAAGACGACAAATGGAAAGTGATTCCTTAAGTCACTTTGTGTTAAATCATCATTAGTTTTATTATGTGAACTGTTGAAAAGTTTGTTAATGAAAGCAGCAGGAGGAAAGAAATTGGCCCATTTATTCACAACAGTTTGCATAATGAAAGTGTATGGTCTGTTTTAAGAGAAAAAAACAGCCACTGCATGCTTTCTTTTTCTAGGATGTTAGGGACTCAATATATATAACCACTTCAACACACATGGCAGCTGGGATAGAGGAAAAGGTGTCCTAAAAATAGTTATTTGACTTATTGTACATGGATGCTTGACATCAATGGCTTGCATTACACATAGTATTAAAGACTTCAAATACTCTGCAAAAGGCAGGGAATTAACATAATACATTTCTGTACAATTTGACAAACAAGCAGTTTTAGAAGAAGGGGCTTGGTTGATCTGGCCAGAATTTGAAAATGCAAAAAAGTAATTCGGCATCTTGAAAGGAAACCCACTACTGCTAATGAACAGCTGCTGTCAAAACATGGCAATTGCATACTTAATTCCTCTCTTCCCTCACCCCACCAGTCAGGATTCCTGCCCATAGCCTGACTTCAGGTTGTTCCACATTCCTGGCTCTGCCCCCCTTTATCATCAACTAATGATGTGGGGCAGAGAGGCACCGAATCTGCAGTTGCCATTTTGTGTAACAGCTGCAAAGTTAAATGTAATATGTAGGTCTGGTATACTACAATCACAAAACATACTTGCGTCTATCAGTGAAGAAATTCGGCTTATCTGCTTGAACAATGACCATGTCGAAAAGGTCTCGCCAGTTCTTGCCAACCATGTGCTTCATTCCTTTATCACTGCAGACAAAAACAGGGAAAGGTTGTTTCATTTAATCCAGTGCATGGGACTCTAGAGAAAGATTTCAATTTTGATCTGATGAAAGACATGGATTATCTGCCAAGATTTTTTCTTTTTAAAAAAAATTCTAACCTGCCTTCCTAACAGCACAGCAGGAGCTGAGTTTTGTTAGGGCTTACTGTTCGTCTACACAAAGATGTGGTCCACAAAATGATTTTTCCTCCCTTTACTCTGAATTCCAGAAGCAGTCAAGGCAATAATATAAAATTAATGTCATTAGCGCAAGGATTTTTTTTGTGTGCAATGAAACTCTGCTCAGCTCTCCTCTGTGCCCTCCAAAATTGTTCTGGTGGTTCTTCCCAACGGTCTAGAATGTTTTGGGGAGGCCATAATTTCATTGTGCAAGTGTAAATCCTTGAATTAATGGAATTAATGTACTGGATACTGCCCCAAGCCTTCTTACTTCTTCTCTGGGTACCTCCAAAATGCAAACCAATCCCAGAAGGGAGCCTTTCTCCATGCTCAGGAAAGGGTTGGGGTTTTGTTCTCCGTACTGTGCTAGGCTTCAGAAGCAGTCAAAAAGAAAGCTTCAGTCCGTTTACATGTGTTGATTAGGCTATCTTCAATACATACACTGTTCTTAATGTTCTGCAACTTTATTTATTTATTTAAGCAATTTATGTAGTAGTGTACAATGAGGTTACAAAAGAGAAAAATATTAACTATGAAAATCAGTAAAGTTTTCTTTAAATGCTTTTAAAACTGTTCACCAAGCACCTCAAGTTTGACAGGGTAGACCCCTGTCAGATCTCAGAGGCATTCCAGAGAACTGGGCCCACAATACTGAGCACACAACTTCTGGCGCATGCAAGCCAAGAGCAGAATTCAACTAAGTTGTCGTGTGCACAGAACAAGGTCTGCTAGCACAATGCGTCTTCTCCCTCTTCCCTGCCCTGCATCCCCCAAATATGTCCTGGAGGAAAACCCAGAACAGACTTAGGGAATGTGTGAGGGCCCCACAGGAGAAAAGTCTTGTTGTCTCTATGTTGAATTCCACTCCATGTGTCACAAGGGTCAACTAACAGCAGCTCCCCTGAAGACCTGGGTGATCAGATAGGCTAGTTAAGGACTCAGGTGGTCCCCAGGTTGTTAAGGGCCCAGTGAATTAATAAAATTGTTTTCTATTATTACAAATTATTCTCCAATCCTTCCCTGCCTGAAGTTTCCCATGGCTTCTGAGTTCAGCTTGACAAGACCTCAACCATGCCTTTAGGCTAAGAGGTTCATACTGGCTAGTCCATTCGTGAACTAGGCTAGGGAGCCAGGACTGGTGTCACTTGCTGCATAACACATGCAGCGGCAAACAGGCATTTGCCACCATATTACATGTGAAGAAGGCTTCAGCGTTTTGAGGGCTCCTGCAGAGGTTTCTTAGAGAGGCACTTGGTAGTTAATTCGTGAGATAAATGGCTCCAAGTCATTTCCAACCTCGATCAACAACAACAACAGAATAGCACCTTCAGTTCTGCGAAGGCACGGATGGAGAACATGTTCCATTACCAAAGTCTACAAAAAACACCTATTATGGAAGAGTTGATTTTCTTAAAAAGGAGTTTACTATAGAATCTGAAGGCTTTGGCCCATTACCATCTATTCATTAGATTACCTATAATGCATACAATGTTCTATTTTATTGCACAATCCTTCCCTACATGAAGATGGGGTGCATCCAGAGATCCCATCAGAGCCCAGTTGCTTCTCACTTTGGCACGTGTGGAAGCACCACACACTACCAGGACATTACAGAAAACAGGATGCCTGTATTTACCTTCTCTATCCCCAGCCAGCCCTTTCATTTGGGCTGTTCCAGTAATTCAGATCCATAGCATGAGTCACTCACAGCAGGCAAAAAGGGAGGGTGAGTTGAAAATATCAGAGGCACACAGACCATAGAGTTCAGTCCACATGCACCTATGCATACCAAGGTGGGACAATGAAACAGACCTGCGCATGCATCAGGACAGAACTGTGACCCTAGGAATGATTACAATCACTTTTCAAATTTAACTTTGCAACCAGAACTAGCAATGCAGTTTCTCCAGTTTCACAGTCGTGTACAATTCTTTGCTAAAACTTGCTGTACTTGTTTGTAATGGTATGATTACGTTGTTAACTGAACGCCACCATCACCTGATGGTGAAAGCAGGGTAACAAATCAAATACACAAATAGATCCTCATGTTATTATAACAATAATAAAATCTTATCTTCCCACAATTAAAAATGTTTACATAAGAAAGCTGCTATCCAGATGGTCTACACTGAACAATTACTACTGTCATTTAACATTTGCACATAAGCAACCATATCATCAAGATGCATAAGAGATGATACTCACACAAAGCTAAAAGGACTGTTTGTGATAAGAAATAGTTTTTTGTTATGGTTAACCAGTCGATTTAGGACAGCATAAGTTTCATCTCCATGAAGAATATATTTTTCTGCAAGAAACAGATTAAGCTAAGCATAATGTAGAAGTACACAACACTATGACAAAAAAGAACAAAGCATTTAGGCAAATTTCAGTTTGGTGGTTCAAAACCATTAATCTAAAGCCATTAGATGCCAGACAGTGTTCATTAGTATTCAAAAAAAACCTTAATCAAAGTTTAGAACTTAACTGACCCATGTCCTTTTCAATCCATTTGTACATCATTCCTTTCACATGGACATCTTTAATGGCATCCTAAAACAGCAACGAGTAGTTATGCATAAGTCTTAAACCTTGTATTGTATTATACAGCACCATCAATGTATATGCTGCTTTATAAAGTAATCATCAATAGAGAAAACTGTTGGGAACTTGATATATGATGTAGGAAATCTGCACCCAAAGCACTAACACAGTCTGTGTATCAGTGGACTTTGAGGGCGCTCTCTCTCTCTTTCTGTGTGTGTGTCTGTGTGTGTAACACAGAGAAACCAAATGTTAAGTAATTTCCATGAATCCACTGAAGTCACTGATACATGGGTATATTTAAATTTACAGTCCAAAGCAACTGTGATGCTAAAGATGTATAACAGAGTTCTGCTTGTGCAGTCAGGTTCCTATAGGTGTTGAAGAAAAGCAGCTTAGGAGTATTACTGAAGATGACAAATGACAAAAGCAATGTACAAAGCAGAGTCATGACACCTCAAAGATGAAGTGGAATCCAGTCCACCAAAGCATATGCCACAATAAAACATGTTAAGTCTTTAAGGTACCACAAGACTGGTGCTTTCACTGCAACAGAATAACATGGCTGCCCCTCTGAAAAATGCAATATAGAGATTCACTATACTTCATGCTAATTAAAATAATAATTAATGATTGCTTGATTTTTTTGTCTCCTTTATTTATTTATTACTATTTGACAATGATACCTTATGCTCGTGCAACACAACTCTCATATAAGACACGGGACTGCCAAAGGCAGAGTTTTCACCTGTACCCTAAAACAGCTGTACTCACACTTATATCCTTGTAAAGATGAACTTGGTCATACTCAATATTGTGAGTCATGAAATAGTCAGTCACGGATGAAAGCAGAGTCATTTCAGGAAGGGAGAAGATGTCCATAAATTGCTTAATTGATGGACCCTGTCCAAAAGAGGAAACGCAATATAAAAACTGCTGTTTAACATAATGTACTTCTATAGGAACTGGGAGGTTGGACACAGTGTCTCACATTTCAGCTGAACACAGCGTACCCTCTGCGAACGCAATAATAGAGAGTTACTGAAGTTTTTGAATCAGCAGCTGTGGTTTTCCTCTCCAAAACAACAAATCAAACATGGCATGCATGTACAGGAGTCAAGAGACTTACTGTAACTAGGCAAGTATGAGATGATTTTAGAGACTCTGGTAAACAACACTGGGAACATGGACACTTAACTGGCATGCATCTAATTCTATCAGGATTTGTGAAAGATTAGCAAGCCTCCTCTTTTTCCATCAGCTTTGGGACTGACGTAAAGAAACACCCATCTGCTGATGTCTGCATTTTTAAGCTACAATTATGTTGTTAAGGTTGCTTTTACTGCTGTCTTGGGTTTTACTTGAGCTGCCTTTCGCTCACCTAATGGTCTCAAAAGATGAGATATAACACACACACACACACACACACACACACACACACACACTCTGCTTCAGGAGCAACTTCATATGGCCAAGGAATACAAAAACAAATAACATTACCAAATTTACCGAAGTAAATTAATTAAAAATTCCACACAGGAAACAAAAGCATTCAAGTTATTAAAAACTACAACATTGTAAATAATTATGTATACAGATTCATTCCTTGATATTAAAATACCTCTTTAAAGGAACTTCACTGACCCATTAACCTATGATCTACAAATTATATTCAAAATTGGATTGGGTTTGGCTTGGTATATATTTTTAACTGTATAATCAGTTTATATAGTCACTTCTGTATAGAAAGGTGACTGCACTCACATGTTCACCATTTCACTATAGCAACTGAAAAGAGGCTTGGTTTATAGAGAGATTGCACACACTTAGGTACAGCAAATCTTTGTCATGATGCAAGGGGATAAACCTATTGCATCATATTCACATGCCATCAGACATGGAAAAAACATAGAAGATCCCTCTGGATAGAGGGATAAATCACGGGTTAGCTTTGGATTTGCATGGGACCATTGTGGGGACAGATTATAGAACAAAAAAAAGTCTTTCCCCCAATCTTTTGAGGCAATACAGCCCAAGTCCATTTGAAGCATTTGGATTTAGCTGTATTAAAACAAGCTAAATGAAATAAAAATAAAATAAATATAAGTACCCTAGATTGAACTGCACTGACATGCAGGATATGAGAAAATATCAGTGATCTCAAACTCTGTGCCATCATGAACCTCCAGTGCCTATTCTGGTCACTAAATTTTCTGGTCACTAAAAGGGTATAGTAAATAGGATACTACTGTTCTTGGTGATTTGTTTATTTCAAGAAGTACTTCCCAATTTCTCAGGTCTTTAAAGTAATGGGAGTCTCTAGAAATGGCAACAATGACACAGACAAAAATCTGTTCTCTTTTAGCAGCTGAACAGTACGAAACAAAAACAACAAAAAGCCAAGACGGAACTACAAATTAAAGCCGTATGTGGCAGTCTGTTAACTATTGAAATATGACCTTTCCTTTCATCTGACTACAGGAATACTCTGCTTTATAATACAGATTATGCTAAAAAACACTTTTATTAAACAGAAATCAGATACTAACTGCCATATGGCCAGGGGGCTGGTATCGCTGCTGATTGAGCAAAACAGCTACACCATAATGACCTTAACTAGTCAAGACCTAATTCAACAGAACTCACCTTCCAACTATAATGACATCAACAAATTATTTCTGGTCTGTCAGTTGGAAGGGACTTATGCACACTGTCAATGCACACACTAGAGCAATAAACTAATCAATACCATGTTATCAGACCATTAAAGACCTACTTCCTTCTTTTTAGGCTTCTGACTTGCTAAGCTAACTTTATTCTACCAAAACAAAAAAAATCCTTCCAGTAGCACCTTAAAGACCAACTAAGTTAGTTCTTGGTATGAGCTTTCGTGTGCATGCACACTTTATTCTACCAATATCTTGTGTTTTTTTAATACATGTATCATCTCCAATGCTTCCCATATTTTAATCGGATACTTTTAATTTCTTGATGAAACCCTGACATTTGTTTTAAAACAATGGAATAAGCAGCCTTAAATGTGTTCAAAAGACCCCAGGAAGGGAGATAATTATTTTAAATAAGAATATTTGCACTAGTGGGAGCCAGAACTGCAGACTTAGAGGTTGCTTTAAAGTATAGCAGAACATGGAATATCTGCTATAAGGTAACTGCATATTATCTTAATGGAGGAAGAGGTCAGGGAAAGAAAAAAGTGTTGGGAGAAGCCAAGGAAGCTAGAATGATCTTTGTTAAAACAGAAGGGATTCTCCCCGCCAGCAGACCACCACCTACAAGGTTTTAGATTAAAAACAGACAAATACTGCATAGGAATAGATGTTTCTTACTCAATCCAAATGCGAAGAAAAAATGTACCGTATAGTTAAAAGGTCTTTTTAAAAATCAATGTAATTTAGTTCTTTCTTCAAGCAATTATAAAAAACCTCATGGGTCAGAATTTCCCTTTTTTGTCATCACATCATATATCCATGGTATATGAGATGACAGTGTTTGCTTTAGATATGGTTAATCTACCATTGAGCAAACAATTCTCTTTCAAAACTTTCCTAGCTCACAGAGCTGTCATGAAGGACAAATAAGTCATGTTTAACCATGGTGTGTAATGGGTTTTGGTTTTTTTTTTGTTTTGCAAAAAGCTATATAAAGCACCAAAAATCTGTCTACTGCAACTATGCTCTCTATCTTTTAAGATTTCACTGAACATCGCTCCCATTAAAGCATATCTCCACAGCTATTTTTTTTATGATATTACAATTTACAGGATGGTGAATACCGTACATCTCTTGACTGTACAGTATGATCATGTAAAACACATATTAGGCCCTGCTCCCACGAAGACAGAAATAAAACTGAATGGAAGCTAGTATGCAGGAATAATTTGTACCAACCTTTAGGAGATTGTTAATGGATGAATACACACACCATTTACCGGCCTTTCCCACAGACCTGTGCCCAATGAGGGCAAGGAAACATGAAGACATGACTGCACTGTTGAAGGAACCTCACAGAAACAGAAAAACTTCTCTAGAAAAGGCGGCTGTTCTGCAGATCAATTGACAGCAAACAACAGCTTACACATCTCTACCGACAGGTAGGCTATGAATGTAATGCCCTTTAGGCACACATCCCCCCTCCCAAAATTCACGAGAGATTACATACTCTCATGAAGTGAGGAACAGGGTACTAGTCCAGCTCAGGTCAGGAAAAGGGATTTTTGATCCTCTAATATATAGACCGACCCACTCTGAAATGTATCAGGACTTTCTTGCCAGTCATCTCTCTCAGTTGTCAGATCTCCCTCATACTTTCAGAAACCTAGTGTTTGAGAGAGGGGAGTCTGGTTAGACGGGAAGAACAAGGAGGGCATGTTCTCTCCCATTTAATGCATCCTCAGCACACTGCCTTGCACCAGGAAAGAGATCGCGTTAGCAGAAGTCTGCTGCTTAAAGACAGGTTTATGGCATTTCACAATCTTCTACAAATGAGAAGGAATCCAGTTGAGGAGCGTTTTACTGTCACAAAACTACTTCTGGACTCCACTTAAATGTAACATATTATATCCAACCAAGTCACCCCATTAATAGAAAAACTTCTGCCTACGCAAAGGAACTTCCTCTATACCCCTTGAGCCCCTTTACCCAAAATCTTGTTCTGGGGTCCTTCCAACCTTCTGGATCAACTGTGGAGAGGGAAGACAGGACATGGGAAGACAGTCCTTCTTGGATGAATTTGCTGAGTACAACCCAATGTGTTACATACAAGTATTACTTCTGTTCTAAAGGTGTGTATTACACGTCTCCCTGTCCAATGGGTAAAGGACAATGTATTTCAAAAACTGGAACTAGGGAATTGTTCAAATGTTACTTCATCTGTGAATCTTAATGCATAAAAAATGACGAGGAGGAGAGTAAGGCAACACTTGCACCAGAAAAGCCTATGTTTATCTGAATGCTCTATCTCATTGACCTTGAGGAATGAGTACACAAGCCTGAGATTTGCTCATGATTTAGCTGTGCACAGAGATTCAGAGAGTGACGTAGTGTCTGAACTGTCTGAGAGTAACACTATTTCTGAATAAATGCAGAGCGTCAAATTACAAGTCTAGAAAAAAATATTTTCTTTTAATAAGTTGCTGTTAAGTCCTTTGAAAAGGAACACTATACAGTGCGTTGGGGTGGCTATCTGGTAGCTTACAGATCCTATCTGGCCATTGAACAACTTCATCTAGTCCTCTGCAGTGCTACTAAATTGCAATAGTGTTGAAAAACAACAACAAACTTAGATTTGAAGGGTTGAAATGGTTGTAAAAAGATGCAAGAGATCTAATCTCCATATTAACACCATGGCTGTTGGGGCTTTGTATAAATATGCTGATAGATACCCAGACTTCTGGAATACTCATTGGAACAGCAGAGCCCCAGAGATGACCACTCCCAAGAAAGATGAACAGATGCATAAGTACTATGCAAAAATATGAATAATTATTCAGCATTGCTAGTAATAATACTTAAAGTGCTCCCTAGGTGGTCATATCTGGAGTCATCCAGTCAGCCAACAAATTTAAGATTGTTTTACAAAAGTCAACCAGACTCACTGTCTCCCTGACAAATTGTTCATATGCTCCTGAAGAAACAGTATGTTTAAACTGGCAAGCGCTGCCTTTTCACACTTGGAAGAAATCACTGGCATTTTCACTTAATTCCTGCATATTGGATTTCTCAGTTATTAAGAAGAGCCAAAGCCCCATTTTATTAAATGGTCAATAACGAAGCTTACAGTACCTTGCCGTAAAAGTCACTCATCTGGTATAATGGAATATGCTGGGTCCCGCCATACATTTCTATGACCTCTTCATCAGGCACTGGTTTCAGCCCTCTATAAGCAAGTTCAAAGACTGAATGTCAACCTCAAGTGAGATAAATGCCAGAAAGGAGAAAAAGGACAGACTGGAATGAAAGTCTATTTCTATCACAGCATGGGCCTTTCAGCTGCCCCAGAATCAAAGAAAGCAGAGATTAAACTTTTCACAGGTCATTTATAAATTGGTAGCCAGCTGTGTTCACTTCACTGAGAATCATTTCTGATTGGTTATTCTGTGCAACATTTTTAAAAAAGTTATATAATAGGTATGTGCTTTGGAAGTGCAAATCAACCAACATAGATCCTCTTGGTTTTATCACCATGTTAATAAAGGTTCACTGTATTCTTTTATGGGGAGTGTTAAATTTCAGGTGCTTCAGCACTGACCCAAGATCCTTCAATGATTCAACTCACTGCATAAAACAGTAGTGTCTGAATATTATCAAGCATCTTTTGAAGTAGCTTCTGAATCATGCAGGACAGCTTCATGTAATGTATAGACAACAAACTAAAGAATATTTCTCTGAAGGAAATTAAGGAAACAAAATATAATAATATGATACTGTGTAAAAAATAACAAATGAGACTTAGTTTTTTGAGAACAATCGGAAGTTTATTTTATCCTTCTTACTGTCATTTTTTATTTCCTTTTTATTTATTTATTGTTGTATTTTTATTTTTCTTGTGTAGTGTTCGTGCATAAACTGTAATATGGCAAACTGTTGTGTAAATATGTGTTGAATGTTTAATAAAGATTTATATATAAAAAAAACAAAAAAGTAGCTTCTGAATCATGCAGGACAGCTTCATGCTTCATTGTTTTTCAGTTGGAATGCTTTTATTACAATTGTATCAAAAGTGACATTGAAAAGGACAAGGTATATGAAGCTAATAGAAGGAACCAGAGAATCTACACACACCAAAGTTATTAACAAAACAAAAGTTGACTAATAGAAGAATTGAGTCCAAACCCATGTGAGTCTATAGGATACAAAAGGAATTTAAGCTCTCCTCGACTAAGCCAGTGTTCTTGGTATTGTATCTTAAGAAGTTATTCAGTTGGATTGGACGGTTATGTGGTTGAGACAGCTGGGCAAAGTAATGGGATACCACGACAGTTGCAACAGAAAGGAGAATAGGTGTCAGTGGAGCCCGGGCACAATGACAATAATTGCTTCTCCAGGGGAGAATTTCCACTAGACTCTGGTTCAAAGATGGCATAGCTGGTACCTGCTGCCTGCCCCCTCTCCCTGCATTACTCACAAAATTAAAACCCATTCAATCTAGCTGGCAGATATGCATGCACAACAGGACATCATTTTTGTGCATTTTGCAAAGCAATAACTACAATCAGTTACTTTTGATAAATAAATAAATGATTAAACATTCACTTCGAACATCATGTTCTGAACTTTTGACTCAGCTCTTAATTGACTGCTACTGGGTTTTGTTTTTTTATGCTCAGAAAGGATCTTTCCACACAACTTCACTAATGAACGTGGCAGTTAAGCATATTTATCAGGGCAGGATGCCAGCTTCCTTTTTTAAACCGTTGATGCAACTTGTGCACGTTTCAATTTCTTAGTGAGGGACAGTGAGATAAAGAGAACATCCAACTTCAGTAAGTCTTGCCAGCGTGTTCCGCCTGCACTGACTTAAGTCACAGACCTGGAATTCAATTGTGTAAACAAGAGTTTAATCTCTGCCAATAAAATATAATTAGGTTTTCACTCCTACTACATGTGGCCATTAAAATGCTGCATCAAAGCAACAAGCTTTAATAAGAGCAAACAAAAGGCAACAGATCCAGAAAGAGAATGCACATGTACAGAGTTTGCATTTTAATTTGCCTGATATTCGCATATATTTTAAAAGAGATGATATTCAACTCACTGATATGCAGTACCCAACTGAACATAGTGGAAAGCATCAATCTTCATCAGAAGGCTCTGAAAGATAAGCAGACCTTTACTGAGAAGATCCTCTGTATATTTTACTCATTCTGCAGAACCTAACATTAAAAGAAGTCAGTCCTACCTAAACTGATCCTCCTATTGTAACGCATTCTTAAATTCCACTCACAGATTGCTAGTCATGCGTTAAGGCGCACAGAGAGGGAGTGCTACTAAACCCCTCTGTCCCTGCAGAACAAAACCACCACCACACCAAGCACATATAGCAAAATATAAAGCAAGAGTCTTCTACTGGTTACCATTGGGCATGGAGGGAAATTTGGAGGTATTGTAGAAGTTATTCAGAAGAATCCTACGGTTGATTGGTGACAACCCTGGTCCTGATGGTAAAATGTAACATTTGCAAAAGAGACAGCGCAAGTAAACACACTTTCAACAGAGTGTCTTGAATGGCAGCCTAGCTGTGCTCCGCTTCCAAAGTCACATCAGCCAAAAGGATTCCAACTAATTCAAGGACCAATCTGAGCCACAGCCAGGGAACAAAGAGACAGCTCACATAAGACACGCAGCATGAAGCCACACTGTCTGGACTCATGGCTAGAGAGCAAAGAGCACACATATGGGAATCTGGTTATGGAGAACTTGGCATACACTCCTACCCAGCAGCTTAAGGGCAGGGAGAAGACAGGTAGGTGAGGATCACTTGTCTTCTCATCCCCCTTAAGGAGGAACTTTGCTTCAGAATTACACACAGCCACCGGGAACTTTAATTCCACTTCTGCAATTATGAGTGAAAGGGCAAGGCACTCCACACATGTAAGCAAGGGAAGGGGAAACCGAGGAGGAAACCATGTCTCAAAGCATAACTCTAAAGGCACCATCCATTCCTCCCCACTGAACACAACAGGAAAATAAATGGGCATGCAGAACATTCAAAACACTTACGTGCTTCAGGTTCCCCCACAAGTTTGAACCGTGTACTTGCTAAATAAACTTTTCGTACTCAGCAGGTTGGCACATAACTGCATGTTAGCTAAGAGGGCTCCTGTTGGCAACAACTCCCTCAATACTCAAACATATACTATGCAATTATCAGCGAAGGACACTGGGAGCACAGGGATCTCTGTTGGTGAACTCTGGGCACTTTATTCTGTCTTTTCTCACTGAGGACCAGACATGCATGACTCATTTTTCCTTGCTGGATGGAGGGGTAGGAGGAGGAGAGAATGTGATATAAGCAGAAAAGTGGTCTATGGCAACTCCTTACACTCCTTATAAAAGGAGTGCAACTCCTTATAAAAGAACATACTTCTTTTTTAAAAATTTGAAGTTCAGTATTAAATCTCTCACCTTGGTAGTTTGGAAGCCATAAAATACTTTCCAAATCCTTTTTAAAAAGTCATCTTCTCTAGCCCCAAGACTCCTCAGCTGAGGGTGATTGATAGTTCTGTGCAAATATCATATGGGTTTCATATATTATTGTGTTCTCTGTATTTGACAAGCTAGCTGTCTGGCCCCAGTCCAATGCTTGTTAAGTTGAAACTAATGCCTTGTATGCAGAAGCCAAAAGGATGAGGGAAGGAAATTACACCTGAATAATCCTGGCCCCATAGGAACATCATACTGTTATATTAACCAGGCTTTTATGATATGTTTATTTTTTTAATCTTGCTGTCCCATTAAGAACACAGTTGAGCACGACACACATATATCACTTTTTTAGGGTGCATATGAGGAACTTCCATGGGAAACTAGAACAGCACTGTAGAATTGTAGGAGCAATTGTAAATTTGCATGCTGTATAATGGGGCTGTCCTGTCTATCTTGTTTTCATCTATGCAGACACTCATGCTTCACATTCCACTGGATTAAAGACTAAAACTCCCAACCTCATAAAATTGCCCAAGTTTCTCTTCTGTTATGTATGTGTGGAAAGACATCCTCCCCCTTTAAAACACACACACACACATATTTATATATGCCAAGTGCATGAAGCAATAATGTGCGCAAGTTAAATGCACACAAGTTGCAAATTACCTGTAGCTACAAGACAAAGTCTGAGGAGCCTTGATAGCTCAGTTGGTTAGTGTGTGGTGCTAACACACCAAGGTTGCAGGATTGATCCCCTTATGGGACAGCTGCATATCCCTGCATGTCAGGGGGTTTGGACTAGATGATCCTCAGGGTCCCTCCCATCTTTACAATTATATGATTTCTAGCGTCACTACAACATAACAGTGTCTTACATACTATTAACAGTGTTGCCCAGCAAACAAAACAAATCCCTTAATCTTCCCCAGGTATTTTGCTGACAAAGATGTGAAAGAGCCTGTACCAACACCCAGCTTCACCTCTTTGACAATGCAGTGCACTCTGGCAATGCTCCCAAGTCAATGTGTGATTGGTCAAGTCACCCAAAGGGCTGCCTGCCCAAACACTCAAAGTCATGGATAATTACACTTCTTATTCTAAGGGTAGCCATGATTTTTCAGCAGTCATTAGCTCACCATGCACACAGATATTTCCAGTGGGCATACAACTCACAAGCTCCCTTGTTCGTCTCTATGAATACAGCAAGCTAACACATGAACAAAGACTGAAGTTGTATATCTTACCTTGTGGACATCATAGTGAAGCCCTCTTATGGCAAATCCAGGAATGTATTCATATTTTCTGAGTCCTTCTGGGTACTACAAAACATTCCACTAGAAAGCATCAGTATGTTTTGTCTCACAGGGGTGTGTACTACATTATATTCAGGTTTTTTGGTTTATCCAAAGACCAGTAGAAACCCAGAAGACCCAGAATGTTGGACTACAACCTGGGAGACCAAGGTTCAAATTCAAGCTCAGTTACAAAACTCAAAGGATGATCTTGAAACAGTTATTGCCTCTCATTCTCCATCACTCACAGCATTGTTGTGATGATAACATGAAAATTGGGGAACTATGTACATCATTTTTAGCACCTTGCAGAAAGCGAGGATGCAAATAACACAATATAAAATTAAAATAAAACAGGAGACAATGGCTTGGTTTGAATAAAAAACTAACATATGGTTAAATTAGCATTACAAAAATTATTCTCAGTGAGCCTGGACTTGTGCACTCTGCCCTCTAGTGTGACTGTGTAGATGACTTTGGAAGTTTCTGCTTTAGATTACCCACAGTTTAATGTGCCAGCCATACACTATACTGTGGTTTAACCTAACTACAGTTAGCTGAAATAAGAGAGATTATTATTTATTATACCGCCCTTCACCGGAGGACCACAGGGAGGTTTACGATATGAAAACACAAAAATACATAACAAAAGCAAAACCCCTTACAGTTTAAAAGTCCACAGATTGTTCACTTAGCCAAAGACTAATAAACATAACACAGGTGCCAGGCAAGCCTCCCTGGGGAGAGCACTCCACAAACTATGGTTTGGAGTTGGCTTTAACTAACCGTAGTAAGATTAACCACAGTGTGTCTGGATTCAGACAACATGGAAAGTGGCAATTAATTTAAAATGGAAGTGAAAGCTTTTAAACACCTAGTTGTGACTGTAGGGTGGGGGAGCTTAGTATGTATACACCTTTGACACCTGAGCTTTTTTTGACTGCATGTTCTGTAATTGTTAAGCTCTAAATCTGTTTTTAATGTAATACTTTTTAATTATTGTAACATGATTTGGGCCAAAGTGTGGGCAATAAATTAAAATCATAATCCATTTTTGGGAATGGCTACAAGGGGAAGAGTGGAAGCATTTATTTACCTGTTCAGCTAACTACATTTGCTCTTATGAATTAATCTGGATAAACTGTGGTTAGGGTTAACAAACAATCTTCAAACCATGGTTAATGATCCTTAATCATAGTCAACACTAGCTACAGTTTGTCCAGGTGTGGTCAAAACAAATACCAGTTAGTTTAAAAAAACAGTAAATGTTTCCAGTCTCCTTGTGGCTGTATCAGAGGACATGGGGGGAGTGCAGGGACTCAAGGCTTATGAATATAATACTAAACACTTGTTTATTATTATTTGTGAACTAAGCTATTATCATACAAAAGGTGTGGAAGGATCTGTTCTTGCTATTTATTTTATAAGCCCCAAACAATCAGTAGAGAATTATGTACACGCTGGTCTAAGGATTGTTTCCATACTGTCCCGTCATGCCCTGCTACAAATCAAGTGGATAAAATCAGCATTTGGTAACTAGGCAATAAACAGCAAGATTAAGGTACATTACCTTAAACTGTTCAATTAAGATGTCTCTGGCAGTGTTGAATATCATAGAATGTAACAAATTTGAATATTGCGCTAATGTGTAATCATAATCAAAGCCATAGATCTCCACATCTCCCAGACTGATCTCATTATTTGCATAAATAGCCGCTGGGTTAAGAAGACTGCAGACCCCTGGTGGGAGGAGATCTGGAATAAAATAAAGGGGGGGGGTTAAGAAAAAATAGCCTTTAAGCTTTTGATCTGATACCATGTAGAGTGAGGATGCTGCCCTGAACTATGAAGTTCCCGTTACTACAGTTTTTAGAGATGCTCCTGTATTTTTATATTCAGCAGACTATATAACTAGAGAATTGTGTTCTTCTCTTTCTTGAGATAGCGCTAGCACCTATTTGGCATAACAGTGGAGCTTAACCTGGAAAATTAAGAGTACTTTACAATAATTGTTTCAGGACAGATATGACACATGGCCGCACTGTTCCCAGGGACAATAGGAGGCTCCACAGACAAATGTTTGAACCAGCCCCAAGTTAGAGAAACTCACAACACTTAGAAGTTGGAAATGTAATGCATAGTCGAAAGATGTTTAACACATTTGGTGGAGATGCCTTTTGATAGAAACAAATGGTTGATGACAGGAATTAACATTGATTTTGAACTCTTAAAGACTATGTGCATATGAAGATTCTCTAAGCAGCACAAGTCTAGAAATTCATGTCATTGTTTATGGTATGAAATGGCTTTACTGGTTTTTGTTGAAGAACAGTAAGGTTGATTGCTGAATTATCTTGAGAAATTGCTTATTTCACCTCATATTTGAATACATATTACAATGCTCTAAGATAGAATGAATAGAATTCACATAACAACTGTAGTAGGCTTCATAAAACTTTTTTTAAAAAAACAAAACAAAACTGTAGTAGACTGCTTGATGAATTTCCAAATTGTTTTAAGCTTGTGGAAGAAATCACATTCACATTTTTTATGTTTAATGTTTCCATGGTGAAATGTGGAATATCTCTCTGAATTTGAAGGGAAAATCTGGATTTCCAAGAGCCCTAAAGTTGTGTGTAGTACTTATAAAATCATCCAATTAGGATCACTAATTTCAGTGTGAAAAATTAAATATTGTTTGGAATAACAAATTATTAGAAACAGTAAAAATTCTCTTCTCTCAATCACGTATTATTCTGAAAATTTTGACCATCACCAGCCCAAAGCCATTTAATATGTGCTTTCCTACAGAGCCGTAGCTAGGTGATCTTGCGCCCCTGGCAGAACCGTTCAGATTGCGCCCCCTAGCCATGGACAAATTAGCTCTTCTTTCCACCTCTCCTCCATCCCCCCCTCCACCCATTCAATTCACCCTCTATTTAAAAACATTTCTTATGAGGCAATAATTTATATTTATATTTATGAACATATTTTTAGCCAATTTTGCGGGGGGGGGTCGCCTGTGCCCCTGCGGGGGCCCACCTCACCCCCCTCTAGCTATGGCCCTGCTTTCCTATTCTATATACCTCTCTCATGGATTGATACAATGCTCTATTGATTTGGATAGAATTATGCAAGTTTTTGAATACTAACAGAACCACTTCAATTACTACTGAAGCTAAAAGTATGCCAATGTCCAAATAAATATAGGTTGCCTGATACAAATAAGCTACTTCCTCAAAACACCATGCAGCATTTAGCTTCCCAAAGTAGGGAAAACAAAATGCTGTGAAAGCAGCTAAGCTTAAGCAACACTGAGGACAGAAGGAAGCAAACACTTCATCACACAAGATTTAACACATCAGCTTCACATTCCTAGTGCCCTAAAAAAATATTTGCTCTCCAGCAATTTATTCTAAGTGGCCCTGCTTGATTCCTCAGGACTACGGCTATCTAATGAGAAAACACCCCCCAAGTGGGAACAAGTTAGCTTCCGAAGACGTTGCTACCATTAATATGCAAATGGAAACACCACAAAACAACTAACTTCCCAAACTCATCACTACAGATTTGCAGTTGATCCTTAGTCACACAGCACCCAGGTTAAAAAGGATTAAGACCAAGCTTGTTTTGTTAACTGATGTTTTAGCATATTGTTCTTATGTTTTTAATATAAGAAAGCCAGGTCCATTGTGGGAAAAACAGAAGGTTTCCAGCAAATCAGACTTATCATAGCCACGGAAGGCCTCAGCAGGAGCACTGGGACTTTTCATTTTCTTCTTCCCCTTAGTCACGTTTATGCCTTTCACTACCCTCCTTTCCCATAGCTCATGCTTTGGTTCCACATCCATTCCTCCCTTTCTTTCTCTTTTCTCCTCAGTTTGAACCTTACCAGCTTCCTTCCCAACCTACCTTCGCTCTCTAACCAACTCCCACAGGCTGAACTATGCATGTGGAGAACTGCTGTTAGCGTCTATTCAACTAAAATGCTGTTGGGGGGCAGGGCAAGCTGAAGTGCTGAGGGCCACTGGTGGCCTCTGGCCCACTACCTTAAAATGCTGCCTAGTCTGCTTTAGAGCAAGAAAGGTAAATGCTTTTGAACAGCACTCAGAAACCACCCAGGAACCAGGGGAGCTGTTTCAAAATAGATGCTATCTGCTCCCTGATACTTGTCAATAATCTGGCTGTCACATTCTGAATTCCCTCAGCTGAAGTTTGCAAAAGCACTGCAGGAGCAGCCTGAGCAGAAACCCAATCTAGAAGTTACAAGCATGCAAAACAATGGTCAGGGAACTATTCCCCATGAGGTCCCAAAGTTTGGAAATCAGCCAAAGCTGGTTTAAAAAAAAAGTCTCCACTGCTCCCACTCCACCATACCAGCACCTTCAGTCAGACTTCAGGCTTAGGGAACTAGCTTGTTCTTACTAGCTCTACTAACTGGAGCCAGGTGTAAAGAATTCTCAGTTCAGCATTTGTTTTGGATACCAGAATTGAATGGAACTCAGTTCTTCTACAGTTTGGGGATGGTCTACCCACATCCCCAAACTATTCATTTGAGGAGCATAATTTAGGGTCATTCTTAGTTAAACAACTATGAGTGAGAAATCCTTGATAACCTACTTCAGATCACCCAGAGAGCTGTCCAACTCTGTCTTAAGGAGGTATGTAACCCCATTTACAAAGTCTCTCCAAAAGGGATCAGAACATCTGACCCGAGTTTCAGCTTGTTTTGTGCTTATCCAGCTCACCACCAAACTGAATGAAACTATTATCTTGAACCTTTTCATTCCAGGTTCTGGTCTGGTTTCAGGACAGAATTGGCTTTGGTCACCCTGACAGGCAGGGCCAACCCACTACATGATTTTGACACCTTTGGTGACTCACAAAAAGGTGCCCTCTCCCCACCAGGGAAAAAGGGGTGAAGATTTCCACCAGGAACAAGGGATGAAATAAATACATACATTGGGATTTGCTGCTCCTGTGGATCCTGCCACCTGAGGTAGTTGGCTCACCTTGCTTTATGGGTGGGCCGGCCCTCCTGATAGGTGACTTTTATTGGAAGAGGGAGAGGGGGAATTGCAGCTCTGTTACTTTTGCTTGATCCCTCAACTTTCATCTGATGAACATGGGGTGGTAGCTGAAGGCACTGTACTGTATTCGTTCTCTTCCAACCTGTGGGGTAGGTTCCTGAGAACGGTACTAGGTTATTGCCAGGTGACAGAGATACAATTATGCTGCAGGGTGCAACAAGTATCAAACATACAAATAAACTCAACAGTTTACTTGGATTTTTAAGATTAGAACTTTTGTAAATATTTTAATTCATGGCAACTCAACAACATAGACTTCCGTTGTTTAAATTTTATGGGGGGAAATGAAGGTATTGAAAAAATATTAACATACCGCACCGCTTTTAGCAATCTGAAGAGCTGCATGCCCATTATTTAATAGATGGTGATAGTCTATTAATTACAAATTTGAAACTGCCCAATATGACTGATATTGTATCAGCTCATCACGTTGTTATTTATTTTTATGAACGTGCATTTTTAGACTGCAGATTTTCTATGGAAAAATATAGCACTGTAAAATTTTCCACCTCATATCACTGGGTTTTAGAGTAAATGAATCCGGTATTTTTTTACATCTGTTATCTTGAAATTGTTGTCCCAGCTAGTTTCTTCCACTAGCATTTAACATACTTGGCAATGGTAAACTACTGATTATGACTTTGCCAAGGGAAACTGAGCACGTACCAGAAATACAAAATGGTTTCAGATGTAGACGTTAACAATACATCATATAGGATATGAAAGGCCCTAAAGTGGGCAGATGAGAACTTAATAATAATCTAATATATCTATCTATTACAAGAATACAGTAGACTAGATGCTGATATCTAAGTGATTGAAGGAACTCAGCTGTATACTAACATGTGTCCCATGTTGGTTTATGCCCTTCTCATCTGAGCAGACATCTATTCTCAAAAGAGTATTTGAAGCCATTCTAACTTTGGAAGGCTGCGGGTCTAGAAAGTCCTGCTTGCTCTCTACAGTGACAAATGAGTATCTGATGAAACATGTTGGACAAACCAACAAAAGCAATCAGATGGGATTCTGGCCACACAGCACCCTGGCGAAATTAGAACACAGCTACGGTACTGCACTCCTTTTCATATAAAACCAGGCTGCGATCAGCTTAATCTGAGGGCTCCCAACGGGGCAAACGATTTGCAGTGGGGCAGCTGGGGGAGGAAGCATTGCAATTCATCACCATCAGGTTCCACTTCCACAAATGCATCAGGCACACAGTCAAATCTCCCACCCCGCGTGGGAAGGCTAATAATAATAATAATAATATTTTGGTTACCGTAAACCAGCTTTTTCATCTCGTGGTACCTGGCCCAGAGATAGGACTTGGTGTCGACCCCTTCGACGGGGCTGCCCAAAGGGGCAGTGGCTGCATGGCTGGAGTCCCCGGCTCTCTTGACTTTGCCGTTCAAGGAGGGCGGCGGCGGCGGCGGCGAGTGTCCCGCCGACTGGTGCTGGTGGGCCCTCGGCTGGCTGCAGCCAGCGCGCCCGTCTCCGCTGCCTTTGGAGGCGCAGCTGTGAGTGGAAGCAGCAGCGGCCACCAGCTGGAGACCGACTCCGCCGCTCTTCCACACGCTGCCGCCTGCAGCCTTGAGTCCCGCGGCAGCCATGGAGCCTCTCCGGGGCGGCAGGACGCCTCTTCCGTGAGGGGTTAAAAGGGCATAACCTCAGAGAAGCACGAAAAGGCCACCTCAGCCCCTCGCAGTCCCCTGCTCTCTGCTCCGGCCACTGGCCGCGCGACGCGACTTTTACAGCCGCCGCCGCGCAACAGCCAGCCAGCCAATGGAAGCGCAGCCAAGCTGGCCAATCCCTGGCGCCCCATCAGGAGAGACCCCTTGCGAGGAGGAGCAGGCGGCGGGGTCTCCGAACCCAGGCGCTGCGCGGCGACTTGGGATTTGTAGGCTGAGCGGCCTCTCTCCGAGTCTTCGAGGAGCCAAGGACTACCACACCCGTGAGCCCTTTCGCCCGCCCCGCTGGAAGGCATTTAAATCATTCAGTGCGGCGATGTTTTCCAAAAGACTGCGCGCTTGACGATTGTGTTGCGCTGCGCTTCTTGCCGTGGGGAAGAGGGAGGTTTGGGCTACGGTTTCTATTCGTCGTCTGCTTTTCCTCGCTTAGTTGTTTCTGCCTGTCTGGAGAAAGAGGGGACGTCTATTCGTTAGAGGAGCTCTTAGTGAAATAAATGGATGGGGGGGGGGAGAAGAGAGAAGGGAATTACTCCACCACGCTAAGCCTATTTATTCAGAAATAAGTTCCATTGCTTTCAGCGGGACTTACTCCTTTGTATTCTTACCAAGGAATAAGCGCCACAGGGCTTCTATGAGCCCAGTGAGATTTGGCGTGAGGGGTCAGTATGCTGATGACACTCGGTTCTCTTTGTCTCTGTCTAGTGTAAGGGTGGTCCTGCAGGTATGAGACCGGTGTTTGCATTCTGTAATGGGCTGGACAAGGCCAAGAAACTGAACTGGTATTCTGAGGTGCTTTGCGTAAGTGGTGCGCAGTCTGTTCTTTGGGAAGGTTGCACTCCCTTTGAAAGAGCAGGCGTGTAGTGGTGGAGCGTGGAGGCAGGTATTCTTGGATCCAGCATTGTCACCTCAGGCCCAGGTGCTTCCAGTGGCATGGAAGGCCTTTTTCCAGCTTTGACTGGTTGGCAAACTACAACTGTAACTGAACGGATTACTGTAATGGGCTGTTCGTGGTGCTGACTTTGAAGACAAGCTGAAAGCTTTAATGAGTGCTGATGCAACTGCTAGAATTTTAACCGGTAGAGCTGGATGAAATCGTATTAAACCGATTCTGAAAAAGTTACATTGGCTGCCTATTTACTCTCGAGGTGCTGGTCTTTAAAGCCCCTAAACAACTTGGGATGCTGTTTTACAATACCACCCCATACGTGTTTTGTGCATGCATCTCATAAAATGGAATCTGGTCCACGAACGCTTATGCTGTGAGCCGCCCTGTGATCTTCGGCGGTTAATAAATTATTATTAATAATAAATATGCCATAATAAATGTTGGCCTTTAAGATGCCACATGGCAGTTCTTTCCCCCGCCACGCAGACTAATAGTTCCACTGTCAGGAAATGACGCATTGGAATTATTTTGAAGGGAAGTAACAACCAGTCGAATATGGATCCAAGTTGCACAACGCAGCGCTAATATAGCCAACAACTACAACACGGCTTTTTTCTGGATCCTGTATCTTCAGCACGAGTCTTGTCCCCGCCCCTACGAGCATTCCCTGCAACACTAGACCTTCCTGTTTTGTAGTTTAGAGAAAAGCAACACGGGGACATCTGGAAGCTTATGGCGGAGACCTGAAATACTGTGCCCCTTACTCGGGAGTACTCCCACTGAAGCGTGCCTTTAATATCGCTAGGAGCTGGCTGCCCCCTTTGCTCCCTTGCGCTCTCGGGCCCGCCATTAGCGCTCGAGTTCCTCAGCTAGAGCAAAAAAACCATCTCCTCCCGCCTATTCCTCATCTGTTCCACAAGCCACGCCCTCTAGCGCAGCGAGCCAATGGGATCCGGCTATTTCCCTTAGCGCGTCAGGAGGAGGCGGAGAGAATTTTCCTCTTCCGTCGTCTCTTGCCCACAAGGGGTAAGTCTGCCGCCTCGCGCAGGTCTGCTCTTTAGGCTCCAAGGTGAGGGCCTGCCGCGCCTGCGGCAGAGTCTTCAGGGCGGCTGAGTGATTGGGTGAATTCGAAAACGCAGAGTGGGGGTATTTGCCGTTATGACCGTTGAACCTGCGAGGGGTGGGGTGGTCGGGGTGGAGGAGCTGCTGCAATAAGCGCTCCAAACTCGGGCCCACAAGAGACTGGAAGGTGTCAGTGGAGTGGCGAATAAAATGGTGGAACATAGGGCTAAGAGGTGAATAAAATGACGCACGTTGCTGAGAATGTCACCCGCCCTTTCTCATAGTGCGGAAACTAAGGGTCACCTAAGGAAGCTTAATAGTTAAGCTGTGGAGTTTTGTACTGCAAGATGAAACAGTGGGCGGCTTCAAAAGGGGCTTGGACAGGGTCCGCCCAAGACTTTTTGCCGCCTGAGGCAAACCACTGAATGGCGGCCCCCTTCCTCCCCGCCAGGCAAGGAGGAGTGGGTGAAGAGCTACATCAGGAAGGAGGGTGGGCATTAAGATAACAAGGGAGTCTGCTGCCCCTATGGATCCTTCCACCTGAGGCAGTCGCCTCGCCTTGTCTCATGCATGGGCTGGCCCTGGGTTTAGACAAAATTCATGGAGGGTAAGGCTGCTAGTCACAATGGTTATTGGAAATTGACAGCCTCTGAATACTAGTTACTGGGAATTACAAAAGGAGGAAATGCTGCTGTTCTTATGCCCAGCTTCCATCCTGTCCTGGATAAAGGACTAGATGGGCTAACAGGCTAACTGAAAACAAGACTAAAACGAGTCATGACTAAGGTATTAATTTAGCCCTTTTTTCCTCCAGGAACAGGGCCACCTGATAAACAAGCATCTAGTTGCATGTTTGTTGAGAATAGGTAGCTATTTATCTTAAATGCAAAGAGAAAGCAGCTGTAAATAGTAGGCTGAAGTAGTGATCAAGTTTCGTGAAGGGTCTACTGGGCCTATTGACTGATACAAACTATAAAATTCTGCAGGTACCTCAAATATACAATCTGTATTATAAAACAGGGATGGGTAGCCTGTTCCAACAGCCAATAGGGGCAGTGATTTACAAGGGACAGGTACAAGAAAATAGGTAATGTTCCAAATATACTTAGGGACACTTGAAGAAAATAGCAAATGTAAAATATAGGACTGAAAGTTTTAATCAGATTTAAGTAATAGCCCTCCTGATCCTATGCATGTTTACTCTGAAATAAGTCCCATTGAAAGTAAAACTTGCAGTGGCTTTCCAATTTTTTTCCACTGAGCTCCCTATGAATAAGAATGAATACAGTGGTGCCTCGCAAGACGAAAAGAATCCGTTCCGCGATTCTCTTCGTCTAGCGGGTTTTTTCGTCTTGCGAAGCAACCCTATTAGCGGCTAAGCGGATTAGCGCTTTTAGCGGTTTAGCGGCTATTAAAGGCTTAGCGGCTTAGCTGCTAAAAGGCTATTAGCGGCTTAGAAAAAGGGGGGGGGGAAAGCGGAAAAAAAACGCAAGACTTGCAAGACGTTTTCGTCTTGCAAAGCAAGCCCATAGGGAAAATCGTCTTGCGAAGCAACTCAAAAACGGAAAACCCTTTCGTCTAGCAGGTTTTCTGTCTTGCGAGGCATTCGTCTTGCAGGGCACCACTGTACTGTACTTATTCTTAGGTACGTTAAATATGTATAGTACTATAATCAGCTAACTTTACATAAGATAGTTCTTACATGTTAGGAAAACTTCTTACATGTTAGCAAAGCAATAAACAAGAAAACTGGCATTTATTTACCAGTCAGAGTATTGGATGATTTTTTTTCATTATTCAGTAAAACAAATGGAGCTAAATATCCACACAGAATCTCTGTTAACTTTAATGAACTTTTTCAAGTTTCATGTCGAAGCTTGGCTTTTGTTTTACTTCTCAGTATTTCTCTTTTCCTTGTGTGTGTTAGATGCTGAAGATTCTGTTTATACACTGAAGGCTGCAGAAATGATTTGATATTGCAGTGGAGTCTTTATTTCTCACTTGTTGACGTGAACCTGACTAGGTTGCATCCCACAAATAGAAAGTTGCAAGGTCAGTGTGCTAAATTTATTCTGTTAATTATTGTTAGGGGTCCTTGCATTTCAAACTGTAAAATATATAGCAAGTGCTAAATAAATGTTTAACAGAAGCATAATTATGTTCTACTGTTGGAAAAGTGGTTTCCAGGGTTTTTTGGTGAGTAATTCAGGAGAACCCTCATATTAGTGCATGGGGGAGGAGAGGGGGGATCATTTCATCTGGAAGCTGAAAAGCTTGTGTGGATTAAAATACTGTCATAGCGCTATTTATGAGTCATTCTATAAATGAATGTGAAAATGATAGAATGCATATAAATTCAAGAATACATTCATACGCACACTGTCCTAGGAATAATTGCCAATTAAGTGAAATTTACCAATCAGAAGTGTGGGACGCAGGTGGCGCTGTGGGTTAAACCACAGAGCCTAGGACTTGCCGATCAGAAGGTCGGCAGTTCGAATCCCCGTGGCGGGGTGAGCTCCCATTGCTCAGTGCTGGCTCCTGCCAACCTAGCAGTTCAAAAGCATGTCAAAGTGGAAGTAGATAAATAGGTATCACTTTGGTGGGAAGGTAAACAGTGTTTCCGTACGCTGCTCTGGCTCGCCAGAAGCGGCTTAGTCATGCTGGCCACATGACCCAGAAGCTGTATGCCGGCTCCCTCGGCCAATAAAGCGAGATGAGTGCCACAACCCCAGAGTCGGTCACGACTGGACTTAAATGGTCAGGGGTCCCTTTACCTTTACCTTACTAATGAGAAAGCGTGCATAGATCAGTCTGCATAGCTCTTTATCATTTGAGTTTTGAATGTTAATTGCACAGGGTCAAGTTGTGTACAAGAAAGATATGAAACCCACTTGGTTTCATTAGCTACACTCCATATAGGTTGATTAATCAATCTTATCAATTTTTTACATTTTCTAGGATCAACCACTCCTTTGCAAGGATTATAAGTTCCTATGTAAAATGCTTGTCAAACATAAAATAAAACTACTCTTGAACATGGTGCCTGGAAAGCAACGCTTTGGAGTATATAGATTTCTCCCTTTCTTTTTTATCCTTGGAGGTGCTATGGAATGGTTTATGATCAGAGTCCGAATTGGGCAAGAGACTTTTTGTAAGTATTTTCATAAAGTTTTCTAGTATTTATCTCTTAGCAGATATATCTACAGTCATTGTTAAAAGCCT